CCTGCCCTTGTTTCCTACCATCCATGCCCCTCGTTTCCCCCCCTTTGTACGTTCAGCCTCTTCCCTCCCTGCCCCTCCCTTCCTCCCCCCCTGCCCTTTGCTCTCCCCTCGTTACGCTCCCTTCTCCCCATCCCTGCTGCCCTCTTACCACCATCAGCCCATCCCCACCACCAGCCCCCCTCCCACCCTTCTCTCCCCCCCTCCCTTTCCCTCTCTCTCTTTCTCACACACACACACGCACACTCCCCTCCCCCACCCCCCACCCACATCCTCCCATTCTGCCCCTCCCTGCCCCTTTCCCACCCCCTCGCACGCCCCTCACCTCCCACCTCCGTGCAACTGGTTTCCCCCCCTATGGTGCCTCCCTTGCATCGCTCGCCCCTCTGCTCACCCTCTGCCCGCCCCTTTTCCGTGCCCTCAGCTGGCCCAGCCCCTGCCCGTTGCTGCCCCTCCCCTTGCCCCCTCAACTCCCCTGCCCCCCGTACACCCCAGTCCCATCCAACCGCCCCCACCCTCCCCCGGCTGCCCGTTTCCGCTCTCCACCCCCGCGACCGTGTGCGGCTTCCAACCGCCCAAGGGTGGTGCGCACGGGGCGTTTCTTCGCACGGGCGAGCCTCCCCGGGGCCCCCCCACCCCGCTGGGTCGTTGTTCGGGCAAAATAACGAAAATGAAAAAATCGGACGCGCTGAAATCGTCCTTTCTTTTTCCCGCTTGCCCCTCCCCCGGCACGTGCCGAGCAAGGGGCATAAATGGGTACAACACGAGGACTTCCCGGGAGGTCACCCAGCCCAGTACTGCTCTCGCCCACTCGCGCTCTTACCTTGACCTAGCTTACCTAGCCATGGCTGCCTACTAAGGAGCCTCCTAAACCTACTATTTCGAGTTGCTTAAGGACAAAGTGATTGTGATAGTTGTTTATCTTATAGTTATAAGCGTTTCCAACGGTTAGTTTTCCAGTTTCGACTGTCGAGTCCGACGGGTCGGGGGTCGCGAGTTTCGCGCGTGACCCTCAGGAGTCTCGGAAACGGAACTCGCGGGGTGTTACGGAACCGCTCGTTCGACCCCGCCATCGCGGGAAGGCTGCGGACGCGCTGCAGCCGGTGTAACGGGAGGTGGGGCGTTGACGCGAAGTTCGCCCGCGGAGTGTAACAGCGCGTGCGACTCACAACCACAACTCCGCCAGACACGGTGTTCCCGCCCATCCCCTCTCTCGACACTCTCCCTTATCCCCCCGCTCTTTTCTGCCCACGGCTTTTCTATTCGAAGCGATTAGCTACTACCGATTTTCTTCCCACGGTTTCCCTCTCTCGAAGTCACTGAGCTTAGCTTCCACACGTAGTTAGCATTCTTCCTTCCCTTTCAGTGCGCCCTTCTTTATCGAAACCCAAATTCGAAGAGCTGCGCGTTTTCAAGCACGCTTTCTCGTCGCCTGTCATGTTTAGTCACGCACTCATTTTCCCCGCCCGTTCAATCTAGCCGCGACGTAGACAGAACCGCGCACGGGGCGCTTACCGCCAGGGAAAGGCAGCGCGGAGGGAGGCGAAATTGCTACGTTCGTAGCGATTAAGCAGCCCTCCCCTTGCGCGCCTCCCGAAGCGCGTTTTCTGCCTAGAGCGTTTTAGCCGCCCACGTTGGGCACACAGGCTGCCCCACTCCCCCTTTGCTCACTCCCACCCTGCCATGCCTCGTCGCACACTCGTGCATGCCCCTTTCCCCTTATCCCCCACCACGCCCCCAAGCAGGCTTTTCTCCCCCCAGCCTCCCGTCTCCCTGCCCTTAGTACCGCCGCGCTCTGCCCGTGCGTCACCCTTGCCCACTTCATACCACCTCCCCCTTCTCCCCCCCCCCCCGGCTTCTCCCTATCATCACCCGCATGTTCCCCCACTCCCTGTCCACAACGTCCCTCCTCCACCCCCCCTCCTGCCTTCCCCACTCCCACTCTGCCCCCCACACCTCTACGAGCCGTACTTCCCCCTCCAGCCTCCCTTTCCCCCCCAGCTACTTCCGCATCCAGCGTGGGCTGCACCTCTGCATCCCGCCCTGCCAGGCCCTTCGGTGACCCAACTGCCGCCACCTGGCACCACGCCGCCTTTCCCACCCCCATCCAATCTCTACACCCCCTGCCCCTGCTCCCTGCGCAATCCAGCCACCTACCCCAGCCTCCCTCTACCTCTTCCTAACTCCACACCGCCGTTCCTACCCCCAGCCAAGGTCTACACCCCTTGCTTTTGCTCCCTGGGCTGTGCCGTCCCCAACCTCCCTCCGCCTTTCCGCGGCACCAGACCGCCTCTCCCTCCCCCAGCCAACCTTTGCACCCCCTGTTCCTGCCCCTTGTGCCCTCCAACACCCTACCTCAACCCCCCCCAGTCTCCCCCTTCTCCAACACCCTCCATATTTCCTCCCCCCTGGGGCTCGCCCATCCGCAGTTATCACCCTTCATCGTTTCCCCAATTCCCTCTGTCCCCTGTTTCCCGGCCCCGCATCCTATTCTGCATTTACCACAGCGCCTCCTTTCGGTGCCCTCTCTGCCCTCCCACGTTCTCACCCCCCGCCTCCCAACCTTCTCATTACCCGCTACCAGGCTCACGCCAACTCGACTACCCACTACCCTTTGCCCCTTCCTCTCTGTTCCCCACCCTTCCTTTCCCACTTGGCTCCACCTGCCCACCCCCACCTCCCGTGGAATTCTGCCCTGCCCTCCCCACCTCCGGCCCACCACCTGTCCCCACACCCTGCTCACCCACCGCTACATCACCCCCGCCCCCCCACCTCCACTACAGCCCGCCAACACTTCCCCTCTCAACCGGCCCCCAGCCCGCCCCCCCCTTGGGCCCCAATCCCCTCCAACTGTCAGGCCCCCTCTACCCTCTCTTCCACCCACTGCGCACCGCTTTCCCCACCCTTTTCCCCTTTCCCCAAGCTAACCCCCCGCACCCCGGCCTCTGCCAGGGAGTTCCTTCCCCCCTTGACGCCCTCTTGAGCCAACTCCAGCAACTCACACCGCCACCGCCAGGCATGCTGCCTCTGTAACAATGCCCCAGCACCCCGCGAGTGGGGGAAAGGCAGACCCGGGAGCCCCTCGGCGATCTGGGAGGTCCCGCAGCCGAGCCACCCCCTATTCTCCCACTCCCCCCACTTCAACAGTCAGGAAGAAACAACACACACCTGACCAAGCGAAAACACTCACACAATCTGACCCTAGGGGCCAGAAGCGTACCTTTGAAGAGGATGGAACAGAGGAACGCCAAGCCCCACTGGAGGAAATACACGAGGAGGAGCCAGCACGCTCAAAACCGCGCCCTACCCCCGCTGCCCCATCCCAGCCTACCCCCCCTTCAGGTGACAGCAGGGGCGGCACCCATGCATGCTCAGTAGAGAGATCCTCCAACTCACTCGCTACCTCCCATTCGCAAACCAGATTACTTGTGAAAACACTTAATCCTACCCGCACCCCAAGCACATAGAAGCGGTCCACCCCCGCGACCGTGTGCGGCTTCCAACCGCCCAACGGTGGTGCGCACGGGAGTTTCTGTCGAACGGGCAAGGCTGCCCGGGGGGCAGCAAAGGCCCGCTGGGTCGTTGTTCGGGCAAAAAAAGCGAAAATGAAAAAAGGACGCGCTGAAATCGTCCAAGGGAAGGGGCAGCTTGCCCTTCCCCGGCACGGGCGGCAAGGGGCATAAATGGGTACACACGAGGACTTCCCGGGAGGGGCACCCAGCCCAGGTTTTGCAGGAGTAGGGGCCACCGGCGCTGCTGTACCTGGGGGAACCGCAGCAGAGGAGGCTATAGGGACCGCACTAGGTGAGGCCGCACAGACCACAGCAGGTGTGGCTGCAGGGATCACAACGGGTGAGGCTGCAGGAGACCATGGCAGGTTTAAGCGGGAGCGCAGTAGGTGAGGCTGCAGGGAGCGACAGTGAGTTAGACGGAGCGGGGGCGCAGAGAGCGCGCAGGTGAGGCCGCAGGGAGCGCGGAAGGCGGAACTCGCGGGGTGTTACGGGCGGACGCAGCAGGTTCGACCCGCATCGCGGGAAGGCTGCGGACGCGCTGCAGCACAGTGTAACGGAGGTGGGGCGTTCACGCGACAGTTCGCCCGCGGAGTGTAGCAGCGAGGCGCGACTCACAGCCACAACTGCAGCCAGGACACGGTGTTCCCGCCCATCCCCTCTCTCGACACTCTCCCTTATCCCCCCGCTCTTTTCTGCCCACGGCTTTTCTATTCGAAGCGATAGCTATACCGATTTTCTTCCCACGGTTTCCCTCTCTCGAAGTCACTGAGCTTGCTTCCGCCGTAGTTAGCATTCTTCCTCCCTTTCAGTGCCCCTTCTTTATCGAAACCCTAATTCGAAGAGCCGCGTTTTCAAGCACGCTTTCTCGTCGCCTGTCATGTTTAGTCACGCACTCATTTTCCCCGCCTGTTCAATCTAGCCGCGACGTAGACAGAACCGCGCACGAGGCGCTTACCGCCAGGGAAAGGCAGCGCGGAGGGAGGTGAAATTGCTACGTTCGTAGCGATTAAGCAGCCCTCCCCTTGCGCGCCTCCCGAGCGCGTTTCTGCCTAGAGCGTTTTAGCCGCCCACGTTTGGCACACAAGCCGCCCCACTCCCCCTTTGCTCACTCCCACCCTGCCATGCCTCGTCGCGCACTCGTGCATGCCACCCACACGTCGTAATCTTACCCCGTCGCCACCCACATATTCACCTTCCTGCTCACACCGCCCCTTTCCCCCTCACACGCGCGCTTTAGCCACCCCGCCACCTAACCTCTTTCCCTATCGGCGCTTAGCTAGCAAAGGCCGCCCTGTCTCTGGAAACCGTAGGAAATAAGGGGAAACAACTTCAAGGAAAAAAAAAATTTAAATATAAATCGGAAAAAACCAGAAAAAATCAGAAAGGCAGCTTACACCTTGTTCTCCCAACCCTCCAGGGCCCCATCCAGTCCGCCACCCCCCCCATTCTGTTTCATCATACTGCACCACACCCTCCCCTTTTGCCCACCAGCATTACCGCCCCTTTCCCCTTATCCCCCACCACGCCCCCAAGCAGGCTTTTCTCCCCCCAGCCTCCCGTCTCCCTGCCCTTAGTACCGCCGCGCTCTGCCCGTGCGTCACCCTTGCCCACTTCATACCACCTCCCCCTTCCCCCCCCCCCCGGCTTCTCCCTATCATCACCCGCATGTTCCCCCACTCCCCTGTCCACAACGTCCCTCCTCCACCCCCCCTCCTGCTTTCCCCACTCCCACTCTGCCCCCCACACCTCTACGAGCCGTACTTCCCCCTCCAGCCTCCCTTTCCCCCCCAGCTACTTCCGCATCCAGCGCGGGCTGCACCTCTGCATCCCGCCCTGCCAGGCCCTTCGGTGACCCAACTGCCGCCACCTGGCACCACGCCGCCTTTCCCACCCCATCCAATCTCTACACCCCCTGCCCCTGCTCCCTGCGCAATCCAGCCACCTACCCCAGCCTCCCTCTACCTCTCCCTAACTCCACACCGCCGTTCCTACCCCCAGCCAAGGTCTACACCCCTTGCTTTTGCTCCCTGTGCTGTGCCGTCCCCAACCTCCCTCCGCCTTTCCGCGGCACCAGACCGCCTCTCCCTCCCCCAGCCAACATTTGCACCCCCGTTCCTGCCCCTTGTGCCCTCCAACACCCTACCTCCAGCAGTCTCCCCCTTCTCCAACACCCTCCATATTTCCTCCCCCCTGGGGCTCGCCCATCCGCAGTTATCACCCTTCATCGATTCCCCAATTCCCTCTGTCCCCTGTTTCATGGCCCCGCATCCTATTCTGCATTTACCACAGCGCCTCCTTTCGGTGCCCTCTCTGCCCTCCCACGTTCTCACCCCCCGCCTCCCAACCTTCTCATTACCCGCTACCAGGTTCACGCCAACTCGACTACCCACTACCCTTTGCCCCTTCCTCTCTGTTCCCCACCCTTCCTTCCCCACTTGGCTCCACCTGCCCACCCCCACCTCCTGTGGAATTCTGCCCTGCCCTCCCCACCTCTGGCCCACCACCTGTCCCCACACCCTGCTCACCCACCGCTACATCACCCCCGCCCTCCCACCTCCACTACAGCCCGCCAACACTTCCCCTCTCAACCGGCCCCCAGCCCGCCCCCCCCTTGGGCCCCAATCCCCTCCAACTGTCAGGCCCCCTCTACCTCTCTTCCACCCACTGCGCACCGCTTTCCCCACCCTTTTCCCCTTTCCCCAAGCTAACCCCCCGCACCCCGGCCTCTGCCAGGGAGTTCCTTCCCCTTGACGCCCTCTTGAGCCAACTCCAGCAACTCACAAACCGCCACCGCCAGGCATGCTGCCTCTGTAACAATGCCCCAGCACCCCGCGAGTGGGGGAAAGGCAGACCCGGGAGCCCCTCGGCGATCGTGGAGGTCCCGCAGCCGAGCCACCCCCTACTCTCCCACTACCCCCACTTCAACAGTCAGGAAGAAACAACACACACCTGACCAAGCGAAAACACTCACACAATCTGACCCTAGGGGCCAGAAGCGTACCCTTGAAGAGGATGGAACAGAGGAACGCCAAGCCCCACTGGAGGAAATACACGAGGAGGAGCCAGCACGCTCAAAACCGCGCCCTACCCCCGCTGCCCCATCCCAGCCTACCCCCCCTTCAGGTGACAGCGGGGGCGGCACCCATGCATGCTCAGTAGAGAGATCCTCCAACTCACTCGCTACCTCCCATTCGCAAACCAGATTACTTGTGAAAACACTTAATCCTACCCGCACCCCCAAGCACATAGAAGCGGGAGAGGGCAGAGCCAGGGGGGAACTTGCAGCTGACACTGCACGAGGAAGGGGTAAGTGAGTTTGTGTGTGAAGGAGCAGCAGAGGCTGCAGAGGATGGGGCAGCAAAGGCTGCACGGGAAGGGGCAATGGGGGTTGTGGGGGAAGGGGCAGCAGAGGCTGCAGAGGCTGCAAGGGAAGGGGCAGCAGCGGCTGCACGGGAAAGGGCGGCAGGGGCTGCACGGGAAGGGGCGGCAGGGACCGTGACTCTGGCCAGGCAAGGGGCAGAGGCCATGGAGACAGGTTTTGCAGGAGTAGGGGCCACGGAACCTGCTGCTGTGTCGGCTGGGGGAACCGCAGCAGAGGAGGCTATAGGGACCGCACCAGGTGAGGCCGCACAGACCACAGCAGGTGTGGCTGCAGGGATCACAACGGGTGAGGCTGCAGGAGGGACCATGGCAGGTGAGGCCGCAGGGAGCGCAGTAGGTGAGGCTGCAGGGAGCGCAGCAGGTGAGGCTCTAGGGGGTGCAGCAGGTGAGGCTGCAGAGAGCGCAGCAGGTGAGGCCGCAGGGAGCGCAGCAAGCGAGGCTGCAGGGAGCGCAGCAGGCGAGGCTGCAGGGAGCGCAGCAGGCGGGACTGCAGGGGCCGCAGCAGGTGAGGCTGCGGCGGACGCAGCAGGTGAGGCTGCAAGGGCTGCATCATGTAAGGTTGGGCAGACTCTAGCAGGTGAGGCTGCACAGTCTACAGCTGGTGAGGTCGCAGGGACTGCAACAGGTGAGGCCGCAGGGACTGCAGCAGGTGAGGCGGCAGGGACCACAGCGGATGAGGCTGCAGGCGGGACCATGGCAGGTGAGGCCGCAGGGAGCGCAGCAGGTGAGGCTGAAATAGCCGCAGCAGGTGAGGCTGCAGAGGCCGCAGCATGTGAGGTTGAGCAGATTCTAGCAGGTGAGGCTGCACAGACTGCAGCAGGTGAGGCCGCAGGGACTGCAGCGGGTGAGGCTGCGAGGACTGCAGCACGTGAGGCTGCAGGGACCGCGGTGGGCAAGGCTGCAGGGATCGCGGCTGGTGAGGCTGATCAGATTACGGTAGGCGAGGTTTTACAGACTGCAGCAGTCGAGGCTGCAAGGACTGCAGCAGGAGCGACAGAGGCCACAGTGGGGGCTGGTATAGGGGGAGGTGCTACGGGTGCAGCGGGGAAGGGGGTAACGGGGACTGGTGCGAGGGAGAGTGCCGCCCCGGCTGTAGCAAGAGAGGGTACGGCAGGGGCTAAAGTGGGAGAGGGGACAGCAGTGGCCTCAAAGGCAGAAGGTGAGGCTGCAGCTGAAGCAGCAGGGAGGGCCATAGCACGGCCAGTAGGGGCGGCAGGGGCCGCAGCAAACGCGGGGAAACACACAGCAGGGCCGGCAGGGCCGGCAGAGACTGCAAAAGGGGCTAGCAGTAAAGCGGCAGCAGGCGGGGTGGGCTCAGGGGACATAGGGGCAACAGGGGAAGGAGAGGGGAGTGGGGTCCCGACCGGGGTGGGCACTGAAGAGGGGGATGTGATAGCGATAGACGAGGATGAGGGAGAGGATGTGATGCACATTGACGGGCCACTGGCCCAATACCTCACGCTTGACGGTGAGGCCGACCGGGCCCCCCTGCAGCCTCACGTCGAGGTTCCCCCTCTACCCCCCATGCCCGTCCCCATGCTAGCAGAAGGACCAATGGAGGGGCTGGGGGAGACCTTGAGGACAGAGCCGCGCGAGGGAGCCCCCATCCTCACCTCCCGTCCTCCAGCCCACCCACCCCCAGGAGCACCACTTCCCCACCCCCACCCTCAGGTCCCGGTAGTGTCCAGGGGGGCAGCCAAGGCCCTGGCCTTCTTGGCGGAGCCGTGCTCCCCGACCCCCACGCTGCTCCATGGCCAGCCCCCCTCTCCGTCCCCAACGCCTGACCCCACGGTTGCAGGCGGTCCACCGGGAGAGCACGCGGGTGCGACAAGAGCAGAGTCACCCGAGGGCACCCCTTCTCTCACCTCTCACCCCTCCCCGCCCCTTCCCTCACTCCTTCCTTCACCCCCAAGGGCAGCACACCTCTGCCCCCACCCTCAGGGGCTCCTTAGAGCACCACGTGGAGCAGCCAGGGCTCTGGTCTTCCTAGAGGAGCCATGCTCCCCGACTCCTACCAACACCCAGCCACCCCCTACCGGCCCACTACCCCCTCCTCCACCAGGCCCCCCCCCCACCCGGTAGTACACACATCTCGGAGGTTGAAGCATCTCTGCGGCCAAATCCCTCTCCCACACGCTACAGGCACCCAAACCACCCGAGTCGCCGCACAGCCCCAACACGCCCACCCAACAGGCTGCCCTCCCCACACCACCCCCCCCAGGCAGCCGAGACCCACCCGCAAGGGCTTGCGCCCCAGGCTCATGGGAGCGGCGGCACCCGGGTAGAGGGGCCCACAGGAGAGGCCACCACAGAGCCCACACAAATCTCTCTCCCCCCACCGTTTGTACCTCGCTCTAACCTCCACACTGGCCCAGCCCCTCGACCCCCACCTCCAACCCCCTCTCCCGGCCGGGTTCCCCACGAGTGGCCCCGTTGGGCAGCCATCACCCCCCACACACAGCTTGCCCGATCTGTTCCCACGGAGGGGGATGTTTCGAGGAGAGAGGAGATGCACACAGAGCACCCCCCGCCTGGCGAACCACCCATCCTCCCTCCACCCACCCCTTTGGCCCCACAGCCCCCCCTTCCTTCACAAACAGGCGCGGACGACCATGTTGGCCGCCGGCGGAAGAACAGGGGCAGAGGAGGCAGAGGAGGCAGAGGGTCAGCCCACGTACTCCCCCCTCCCTCCCTCCCCCACCAAGAGCCCCTCCCTACCTCACATCCCGTTGAACCCTTACCAGGCCCTACCTCTACAGCCCGACCACCAAACCTACACTCCCGCCCCGCTCCTGCACCTCCACAGGGCCATGGGAGCGGACCAGCCCACTCACCCCCATTCTGCCCCTCCCGTGCTGTGTCCCCCTCCCAGGTGGCGACGGCCGCGATCGCTACTGGGAGGGAGGCCGTCGGGTTGAGGGATGCGCCCATGGCAGACGCCACCGACTCCCCCTCCCATCCCTCCCACCCCTTCCATGTCGACGACCCCCTACCGCAACCCATGCTGATTGGGGAGGGCCAAGGGGGCCTCCTAGGGCAGGGTCCACACCCGAGCTCCGCTCAGCCAGCACGCCCCACTCCACCCTCTACCCTGCCAGCCCTCCTACTCTCACCTACAGGCAGGCAGGTCTTCGAGACCCCAGAGGAGGTGAGGGCTGGCATTTCAGATTTGCTGGCGATACACCGCCTGAGCAGCTCTCCGGCTGCCCCCACCCTTCCAGTCCCACAGGACCGGACCCGGACGTATGCGGAGGTCACCCGGTCTGTCCCTTCTTTTATCCCCCCCGCCACTCAGCCAGGCGCGTCACTCCCGACCCCAATGGAGACGGACCGGGTTCTGAGGCCGTGTCACTCGCACCTAGACGGGGTGGCGCCTCCCCCCGTTCAGCCCGTGGCGCAGGAGGTCACCAACAGTAGGGATGAGGCATCCGCCCCTACCGAGACCCCTCCGCCTGGGGTAGCAGAGCCGTCACTTCAGGAGCAGGAGCACACCACGGCACACACTTCAGGCTCACCTCCACGTCCCCCCTCCCCAGCTTCGACACCGGTACCGGCACGAGGCCCGGCCCTATCCTGTGCGATACCACCTCTATCTTCGCTGACACCCCCCCCGCGCGAGGCTGGTGAGTCGTCTCCTCCCCTCATCCCAGGCGATCCTCTCGGAGCTCAGGCCGCCCACGGGGTCCCCTCTACAGCCAGTTCCGACGCCACGGCCCCGATTGACCCCGCCGACACGGCGACATCACCCGACCAGGTCGTGAGTTGCCCCACCTGCAGGAGCTCTCTCGCAAACCGACGCGCGCTCCAGCACCACATTCCCTTCTGCCATCCTGCGGACGCGGCTCGCAAGGCGCAGGCTGCCCATGATACCGCCTCGATCATCCCTTCCCTCTCACAGCCCTGTGCGACCGGGATGCAGTTCACCAACGCACAGTGGCAGACGCTCGACTCGGTGGACTGGACAGAGTATTTCTCGCCCGAGCGTATCCATACACGCCCTCTCCGACGTGTCCCGGAGAGGGTCCGCGGAGGATATCTTGACGTCCTCAGTGCGATCCTAGTCTGCATTGCCCAGGACCCGGAGGCTGCTGGCCCTACCTTCCTCCTCGCTGCAGCGCCGACTCTTTTCCTTGTTCCAGCGACGCCACCCGACCGCTCGCACACGGCTGCCATTGCAACGCGCATCTCCCGCTTTGGTCGAGGTGAGTGGGCTGAGCTAGTCTCAGATGCACTAGGCCGTCGCACACCCCTTCCTCGGCGCACAGGTCACCGGTCACGCACCGCCACCGATCCCTCTACAGCAGATGAGCGCCGCATTGCACGTTGCCTTCGTCTGGCAGCGTGCAATGAGACCTCACGGGCGTGCGCGGCTCTCGAGTCCGCGGAGGCAGCCCCAGATACACAGGGGACGATACAGCGCCTGCAGTCGAAGCACCCCAACGCGGAGAGGCCGACCCCAGCTTGGCTGTCTGGCTTCCAGGGGTCCCCTCTTCGTGCTCTCGGTGGATCACTTACGCCGCGCGATTTTCACAGCTCCGCGGGGCTCTTCGGGAGGACCGTCCGGTTGGGTCGCTGAGCACCTGCGAGACACTTTCCTAGCTTTCCCTCAGAGTCTCCATTTCCTCCTGGCCGTGTACCAGCAGTGGCTCCGAGGCCGTTGCGCTCCAGCTGCGCGCTCCTTGCTAGCGTCTTCCACCCTCGTGGCTCTGGCGAAGTCGAACATGGATGTTCGGCCGATTGCCATCGGCGAGGTTTTGGTCCGCATTCTTTCTCGTGCAGTTTGTCTCCAGCTACGTGACCAGATGGCGAGGGTCTTCTTGGCATCACAGCAGTTTGGGGTGGGGGTTACGTGCGGGACAGAGGTCGTAGTTAGAGGCGTCCGCCGCGCTCTGGCTGACCACCCAGACTGGGTGGTCCTGCAGCTAGACGTGGCGAATGCCTTTAACTCTTTCCACCGAGACAGGATGTTTCAGGCGCTGCAGGCCAGCCCGGAGTTTCAGTGTCTGATCCCCTTCATCGGCCTCTTCTACGGGACGCCCTCGGATCTCCACTACAGGTCAGGCACGGGAGTGGTCACGATGCACTCGGAGCGGGGCACTCGCCAGGGAGACCCTCTCAGCCCCTTCTTGTACGCTCTGACACAGCGTCTTGCTTTGAAGCCGGTTCTGGCGGAGGGGGATGTCCAGCTCTGGTCGTACGCCGATGACACGTACGTGCTAGGTCCCCCAGACAGGGTGCTGCACCACTTTGCCGAGATCGTGAGGCGCTTGGGCGAGATGGGCCTTGCAGCCCAGCCGCACAAGTGCCTCGTCTACCAGACGGAGTCCTTTCTGTCCAGGGATCTGGAGGCTTTCACGGGCCTAGGGATCGAGGTCGCACGCCGAGGGCTCACCGTGACAGGCGTACCGGTAGGCACCGTTTCGTTCGTGGAGCAGAGTCTCCCGGATCGTCTCGAGAGGATGGGGCGGGTGCTACCTTGGCTTCCGAGGTTGCGCCAGCCCCAGACAGCTGCCCGCCTTCTTTCGGCGTGTATCAGCACTCGTCCGCAGTACCTGTCGAGGACCGTCCCTCCTTCGCCCGCAGTGATCTCCAGTTTTACACGGTGGGACGCACGCCTGGGAGAGACTTTTCAGCAGCTTTTAGCTTCAGGGACCTGGGCTTGTCGCGAGGACGTCCGAGAGGCCGCCCTAGACCAGATCTTCCTCCCCATCCGTCTCGGGGGTTTCGGCATTCGTCGCATGGCGCGCATTGCCCCGGTGAGTTTCGTGTGCTCCTGGGTGCAGTGTGCACCCATTCTCTGTTCTCTCCCTGCGTGTGGCGAGGTGTTTCGGCAGAGCTTCGCTTCAGGTGAGCCAGAGCAGATCGACCGGGCTCTGCAGACGGCGCTAGAGGGTCTCCCACCTGACGTTCTCTCTCTCCTTCCCCCCTGGCCCTCTTGCGCTTCTGCCTCCCCCGATTCCCTTTTTGCAGGAGCGAGCCGTCTTCTGGAGGCGCATGCCTTGGAGGCCGTGCGTGCCCGTCACGCCTCTCCCTTGCACCTTGCCCGTTTGACTTCCCTTCAGGGCGGAGGTGCAGGAGCGTGGTTGACGTCGGTGCCGTACGCCGACCCACTGCGCATCCCGGAGGCGCTGTGGCAGGCGGCTTCATCTTCTCGTCTTGGTCTCCCTATCCCCCAGTTAGCCCTTGCAGGTCAGTGCTCCTGCGGACAGGCGATTGACGACATGACGGTGCCTCATCACGCGGTTCGGTGCCCGCGTTACGGGGTCGCCACTACCATCCACGACACGGTGAAGTACATGCTTCGAGACTTTGCGGTCGAGGCGGGCTTCGCGGTAAAGGTGGAGGACTCTACGCTGTTCACACAGTTGGAGGCGGCTCGAGCGAGACTACTGGGACAGCCAGTAGTGGGAGAGGGGACACGGGCTGAGGGTCCGGGGGAGCGGAGAGGCGAGGCGGGACAGCCGGGTGGCGGGGGACAGTGGGGACGGCACCAGCTGCGGGGTCAGGTGGAGCGAGGGACAGGTGGGCAGAGGGGACGGCAGGGGGAGCAGACGGGCCAGGACGGGGAGGGGGGACGGCACAGGCAGCAGCAGGAGAGCCAGTGGAGGCCGCGAGCCCAGGGCGCCGCGCCTCCAGGTTCGGCCTCGGGGGCGGGGCAGGGGCGGGAGCAGCAGAGAGCGGACGGAGGTACAGGAGGGGCAGCGGGATTGGGAGGGGAGGGCCAGGGAGTGAGAGAGGCAGCAGGGGATGGAGCAGGGGGGTCGGGAGGTTTGGGGGAGGGTAGAGAGGGGGAGGGGAGAGGACAGGTGGATGGAGGAGAGGAGAGGGGGAGAGAGACGATCGGAGAGGGGGCACCAAGGGACCAGACAGGGCAGCAGCCAGCGCAACAGCAGGGACCAGTCGGACGCACAGGCCGTGTAGGCACCGCCTCCCGCATTCCAGATCTCACCTGCCGCGACGTTGGCCAGGGTCTGATGGTTCTTGTGGATGTCTCCATAGCGGATCCACAGCGGGAGGGGAACGTGCAGCTGAGACGGGCGACCCCCACACAGATTGGAGTGGCAGCAGCTAGGCGGGTGCAGGAGAAGCTGCGTCACTGGGGGCCGCACTTAGAGGGGCTGCAGCCGGCACCACACTTTTACGCGTGCGTGGCGGAGACCTTTGGCCTTCTGAGTGAGCCGCTGCGTCAGTTTCTGGGGCTCTGCACAAAGAGGATAGCACAGCGGAGGAGGGATAGAGGTGGGGGGGATGACGGATCGGCACGGATATTTGAGGCAGGACTCACTACACGCCTCTCCGTTGCACTGCAGCGCGCGCAGGCTCAATGCATGATCCAGCATGCGGTGCGGCAGTTAGGGAGATCCGACGACGGGTGGATGCCCGCACCAGTCCCACTGGGTGCGGGGCAGGGAACTTGGCACCACGTCACAGGGTGCTTCGAGAGTGTGGCTGATATGCAGTATATATATGATGCATATGTGTAAAAAACAATAGTGGCTGTGCTTGAAACGCTGTGCCCGTGCGGTCGTGCGGGTTGCTGCCGTGTTTGGTCCTTTGGTGCTTCCTCCTCCTTAGTCTCTCTCCCTCTCTCCTCTTCTCTTCCCACCTCCCTCTTTCTGTTCCCTTCTTCTATCCTTCCCTTCTCTTCCTACCACCCTCTTCCTTTCCCTACCACTTCTTCTTACTCCTTCATCTTTCCTTCCTTTCCTTTCTTTCCCCCTTTTCCTACAAAATATATATACCGTCCTCATAGCGATTAGGCTATGTCGAAATTTCCTAGTCTTGGAAAAACCATTATATTCGGCTTGTATTTGCTCTTCCCTTATTACTGAATAACTGCTCTCGCCCACCGGTGCTTAGCTTCGGAGTTCTGATGGGATCCGGCGTAGTAGCCGAGGTATGATCGTACCACGTCAACCCCGTGCCCCGACCGGTACACACCCCTTGCCCGGGTCCCCCCTTCATAGTCACACCCCCTGCCCCCTCATGCCATCCGCTCCCCCCGCCCCTACCCTCCGCGTGCCCGCTCCCTTGCCGCCTCTTTTGACCCTCCCTGCCCCCCTCGCCGTTTCCCACCGCCCGCCATTCGCTCCTCCCCGCCCGTGCGCTCCCCTCGTTTACCTTCTCCTCCCCCCTCCCCTCCTCTGCTGCACGCCTCTTCCTTCCCCTCGCCGACCCACTCCACTCCCTGCCCCTCCTCAATCCGCACCCTGCCCCTCGTATCTCGCCCCCCTATGCTTGGTTTCTCCCCTCCCTGCCCCTCGCCGCCTTTCTCCGCCCCCCACCTCCCCCCTCTCCCTGCCCCCCCACTCTCCCACCCTTGCCCTTGGCTTCCTACCTCCCTGCCCCACCTTTCCCCCCTCTGTGTGCTCAGCTTCTCCCCTCCCTGCCCCTCCCTCCTCCCCGCCCTGCCCCTCGTTTTCCGCCCCCCCACGCCCGGTTTCTCCCCTCCCCGCGCCTCCCTTTCTTTCTCCGTGCCTCTCCTCTGCTCCCTCCCTGCCCCCGCCTGCCCATGCCCCTGTCTTTGGCTTCTCCCCTCCCTGCCCCACGTTTCTTCCCTCCCTGCCCACCCCCTCTGCCCCTCCCTTGTTTTCCCCTCACCCATTGCTTCTCCCCTCCCTGCCCTTGATTTCCCGCACCCCTGCCCTTGTTTCCTACCATCCATGCCCCTCGTTTCCCCCCCTTTGTACGTTCAGCCTCTTCCCTCCCTGCCCCTCCCTTCCTCCCCCCCTGCCCTTTGCTCTCCCCTCGTTACGCTCCCTTCTCCCCATCCCTGCTGCCCTCTTACCACCATCAGCCCATCCCCACCACCAGCCCCCCTCCCACCCTTCTCTCCCCCCCTCCCTTTCCCTCTCTCTCTTTCTCACACACACACACGCACACTCCCCTCCCCCACCCCCCACCCACATCCTCCCATTCTGCCCCTCCCTGCCCCTTTCCCACCCCCTCGCACGCCCCTCACCTCCCACCTCCGTGCAACTGGTTTCCCCCCCCCTATGGTGCCTCCCTTGCATCGCTCGCCCCTCTGCTCACCCTCTGCCCGCCCCTTTTCCGTGCCCTCAGCTGGCCCAGCCCCTGCCCGTTGCTGCCCCTCCCCTTGCCCCCTCAACTCCCCTGCCCCCCGTACACCCCAGTCCCATCCAACCGCCCCCACCCTCCCCCGGCTGCCCGTTTCCGCTCTCCACCCCCGCGACCGTGTGCGGCTTCCAACCGCCCAACGGTGGTGCGCACGGGGCGTTTCTTCGCACGGGCAAGCCTCCCCGGGGGCCCCCCACCCCGCTGGGTCGTTGTTCGGGCAAAAAAACGAAAATGAAAAAATCGGACGCGCTGAAATCGTCCTTTCTTTTTCCCGCTTGCCCCTCCCCCGGCACGTGCCGAGCAAGGGGCATAAATGGGTACAACACGAGGACTTCCCGGGAGGTCACCCAGCCCAGTACTGCTCTCGCCCACTTCTTTCCCTACCACTTCTTCTTACTCCTTCATCTTTCCTTCCTTTCCTTTCTTTCCCCCTTTTCCTACAAAATATATATACCGTCCTCATAGCGATTAGGCTATGTCGAAATTTCCTAGTCTTGGAAAAACCATTATATTCGGCTTGTATTTGCTCTTCCCTTATTAATGAATAACTGCTCTCGCCCACCGGCGCTTAGCTTCGGAGTTCTGATGGGATCTGGCGTAGTAGCCGAGGTATGATCGTACCACGTCAACCCCGTGCCCCGACCGGTACACACCCCTTGCCCGGGTCCCCCCTTCATAGTCACACCCCCTGCCCCCTCATGCCATCCGCTCCCCCCGCCCCTACCCTCCGCGTGCCCGCTCCCTTGCCGCCTCTTTTGACCCTCCCTGCCCCCCTCGCCGTTTCCCACCGCCCGCCATTCGCTCCTCCCCGCCCGTGCGCTCCCCTCGTTTACCTTCTCCTCCCCCCTCCCCTCCTCTGCTGCACGCCTCTTCCTTCCCCTCGCCGACCCACTCCACTCCCTGCCCCTCCTCAATCCGCACCCTGCCCCTCGTATCTCGCTCCCCTATGCTTGGTTTCTCCCCTCCCTGCCCCTCGCCGCCTTTCTCCGCCCCCCACCTCCCCCCTCTCCCTGCCCCCCCACTCTCCCACCCTTGCCCTTGGCTTCCTACCTCCCTGCCCCACCTTTCCCCCCTCTGTGTGCTCAGCTTCTCCCCTCCCTGCCCCTCCCTCCTCCCCGCCCTGCCCCTCGTTTTCCGCCCCCCCACGCCCGGTTTCTCCCCTCCCCGCGCCTCCCTTTCTTTCTCCGTGCCTCTCCTCTGCTCCCTCCCTGCCCCCGCCTGCCCATGCCCCTGTCTTTGGCTTCTCCCCTCCCTGCCCCACGTTTCTTCCCTCCCTGCCCACCCCCTCTGCCCCTCCCTTGTTTTCCCCTCACCCATTGCTTCTCCCCTCCCTGCCCTTGATTTCCCGCACCCCTGCCCTTGTTTCCTACCATCCATGCCCCTCGTTTCCCCCCCTTTGTACGTTCAGCCTCTTCCCTCCCTGCCCCTCCCTTCCTCCCCCCCTGCCCTTTGCTCTCCCCTCGTTACGCTCCCTTCTCCCCATCCCTGCTGCCCTCTTACCACCATCAGCCCATCCCCACCACCAGCCCCCCTCCCACCCTTCTCTCCCCCCCTCCCTTTCCCTCTCTCTCTTCTCTCACACACACACACGCACACTCCCCTCCCCCACCCCCCACCCACATCCTCCCATTCTGCCCCTCCCTGCCCCTTTCCCACCCCCTCGCACGCCCCTCACCTCCCACCTCCGTGCAACTGGTTTCCCCCCTATGGTGCCTCCCTTGCATCGCTCGCCCCTCTGCTCACCCTCTGCCCGCCCCTTTTCCGTGCCCTCAGCTGGCCCAGCCCCTGCCCGTTGCTGCCCCTCCCCTTGCCCCCTCAACTCCCCTGCCCCCCGTACACCCCAGTCCCATCCAACCGCCCCCACCCTCCCCCGGCTGCCCGTTTCCGCTCTCCACCCCCGCGACCGTGTGCGGCTTCCAACCGCCCAACGGTGGTGCGCACGGGGCGTTTCTTCGCACGGGCAAGCCTCCCCGGGGGCCCCCCACCCCGCTGGGTCGTTGTTCGGGCAAAAAAAACGAAAATGAAAAAATCGGACGCGCTGAAATCGTCCTTTCTTTTTCCCGCTTGCCCCTCCCCCGGCACGTGCCGAGCAAGGGGCATAAATGGGTACAACACGAGGACTTCCCGGGAGGTCACCCAGCCCAGTACTGCTCTCGCCCATAGCGAGACCGTCCTCATAGCGATTAGGCTATGTCGAAATTTCCTAGTCTTGGAAAAACCATTATATTCGGCTTGTATTTGCTCTTCCCTTATTAATGAATAACTGCTCTCGCCCACCGGCGCTTAGCTTCGGAGTTCTGATGGGATCCGGTGTAGTAGCCGAGGTATGATCGTACCACGTCAACCCCGTGCCCCGACCGGTACACACCCCTTGCCCGGGTCCCCCCTTCATAGTCACACCCCCTGCCCCCTCATGCCATCCGCTCCCCCCGCCCCTACCCTCCGCGTGCCCGCTCCCTTGCCGCCTCTTTTGACCCTCCCTGCCCCCCTCGCCGTTTCCCACCGCCCGCCATTCGCTCCTCCCTGCCCGTGCGCTCCCCTCGTTTACCTTCTCCTCCCCCCTCCCCTCCTCTGCTGCACGCCTCTTCCTTCCCCTCGCCGACCCACTCCACTCCCTGCCCCTCCTCAATCCGCACCCTGCCCCTCGTATCTCGCCCCCCTATGCTTGGTTTCTCCCCTCCCTGCCCCTCGCCGCCTTTCTCCGCCCCCCACCTCCCCCCTCTCCCTGCCCCCCCACTCTCCCACCCTTGCCCTTGGCTTCCTACCTCCCTGCCCCACCTTTCCCCCCTCTGTGTGCTCAGCTTCTCCCCTCCCTGCCCCTCCCTCCTCCCCGCCCTGCCCCTCGTTTTCCGCCCCCCCACGCCCGGTTTCTCCCCTCCCCGCGCCTCCCTTTCTTTCTCCGTGCCTCTCCTCTGCTCCCTCCCTGCCCCCGCCTGCCCATGCCCCTGTCTTTGGCTTCTCCCCTCCCTGCCCCACGTTTCTTCCCTCCCTGCCCACCCCCTCTGCCCCTCCCTTGTTTTCCCCTCACCCATTGCTTCTCCCCTCCCTGCCCTTGATTTCCCGCACCCCTGCCCTTGTTTCCTACCATCCATGCCCCTCGTTTCCCCCCCTTTGTACGTTCAGCCTCTTCCCTCCCTGCCCCTCCCTTCCTCCCCCCCTGCCCTTTGCTCTCCCCTCGTTACGCTCCCTTCTCCCCATCCCTGCTGCCCTCTTACCACCATCAGCCCATCCCCACCACCAGCCCCCCTCCCACCCTTCTCTCCCCCCCTCCCTTTCCCTCTCTCTCTTTCTCACACACACACACGCACACTCCCCTCCCCCACCCCCCACCCACATCCTCCCATTCTGCCCCTCCCTGTCCCTTTCCCACCCCCTCGCACGCCCCTCACCTCCCACCTCCGTGCAACTGGTTTCCCCCCCTATGGTGCCTCCCTTGCATCGCTCGCCCCTCTGCTCACCCTCTGCCCGCCCCTTTTCCGTGCCCTCAGCTGGCCCAGCCCCTGCCCGTTGCTGCCCCTCCCCTTGCCCCCTCAACTCCCCTGCCCCCCGTACACCCCAGTCCCATCCAACCGCCCCCACCCTCCCCCGGCTGCCTGTTTCCGCTCTCCACCCCCGCGACCGTGTGCGGCTTCCAACCGCCCAACGGTGGTGCGCACGGGGCGTTTCTTCGCACGGGCAAGCCTCCCCGGGGGCCCCCCACCCCGCTGGGTCGTTGTTCGGGCAAAAAAACGAAAATGAAAAAATCGGACGCGCTGAAATCGTCCTTTCTTTTTCCCGCTTGCCCCTCCCCCGGCACGTGCCGAGCAAGGGGCATAAATGGGTACAACACGAGGACTTCCCGGAAGGTCACCCAGCCCAGTACTGCTCTCGCCCATAGCGAGACCGTCCTCATAGCGATTAGGCTATGTCGAAATTTCCTAGTCTTGGAAAAACCATTATATTCGGCTTGTATTTGCTCTTCCCTTATTAATGAATATCTGCTCTCGCCCACCGGCGCTTAGCTTCGGAGTTCTGATGGGATCCGGCGTAGTAGCCGAGGTATGATCGTACCACGTCAACCCCGTGCCCCGACCGGTACACACCCCTTGCCCGGGTCCCCCCTTCATAGTCACACCCCCTGCCCCCTCATGCCATCCGCTCCCCCCGCCCCTACCCTCCGCGTGCCCGCTCCCTTGCCGCCTCTTTTGACCCTCCCTGCCCCCCTCGCCGTTTCCCACCGCCCGCCATTCGCTCCTCCCCGCCCGTGCGCTCCCCTCGTTTACCTTCTCCTCCCCCCTCCCCTCCTCTGCTGCACGCCTCTTCCTTCCCCTCGCCGACCCACTCCACTCCCTGCCCCTCCTCAATCCGCACCCTGCCCCTCGTATCTCGCCCCCCTATGCTTGGTTTCTCCCCTCCCTGCCCCTCGCCGCCTTTCTCCGCCCCCCACCTCCCCCCTCTCCCTGCCCCCCCACTCTCCCACCCTTGCCCTTGGCTTCCTACCTCCCTGCCCCACCTTTCCCCCCTCTGTGTGCTCAGCTTCTCCCCTCCCTGCCCCTCCCTCCTCCCCGCCCTGCCCCTCGTTTTCCGCCCCCCCACGCCCGGTTTCTCCCCTCCCCGCGCCTCCCTTTCTTTCTCCGTGCCTCTCCTCTGCTCCCTCCCTGCCCCCGCCTGCCCATGCCCCTGTCTTTGGCTTCTCCCCTCCCTGCCCCACGTTTCTTCCCTCCCTGCCCACCCCCTCTGCCCCTCCCTTGTTTTCCCCTCACCCATTGCTTCTCCCCTCCCTGCCCTTGATTTCCCGCACCCCTGCCCTTGTTTCCTACCATCCATGCCCCTCGTTTCCCCCCCTTTGTACGTTCAGCCTCTTCCCTCCCTGCCCCTCCCTTCCTCCCCCCCTGCCCTTTGCTCTCCCCTCGTTACGCTCCCTTCTCCCCATCCCTGCTGCCCTCTTACCACCATCAGCCCATCCCCACCACCAGCCCCCCTCCCACCCTTCTCTCCCCCCCTCCCTTTCCCTCTCTCTCTTTCTCACACACACACACGCACACTCCCCTCCCCCACCCCCCACCCACATCCTCCCATTCTGCCCCTCCCTGCCCCTTTCCCACCCCCTCGCACGCCCCTCACCTCCCACCTCCGTGCAACTGGTTTCCCCCCCTATGGTGCCTCCCTTGCATCGCTCGCCCCTCTGCTCACCCTCTGCCCGCCCCTTTTCCGTGCCCTCAGCTGGCCCAGCCCCTGCCCGTTGCTGCCCCTCCCCTTGCCCCCTCAACTCCCCTGCCCCCCGTACACCCCAGTCCCATCCAACCGCCCCCACCCTCCCCCGGCTGCCCGTTTCCGCTCTCCACCCGCGCGACCGTGTGCGGCTTCCAACCGCCCAACGGTGGTGCGCACGGGGCGTTTCTTCGCACGGGCAAGCCTCCCCGGGGGCCCCCCACCCCGCTGGGTCGTTGTTCAGGCAAAAAAACGAAAATGAAAAAATCGGACGCGCTGAAATCGTCCTTTCTTTTTCCCGCTTGCCCCTCCCCCGGCACGTGCCGAGCAAGGGGCATAAATGGGTACAACACGAGGACTTTCCGGGAGGTCACCCAGCCCAGTACTGCAGTATATATATGATGCATATGTGTAAAAAACAATAGGGGCTGTGCTTGAAACGCTGTGCCCGTGCGGTCGTGCGGGTTGCTGCCGTGTTTTGGTCCTTTGGTGCTTCCTCCTCCTTAGTCTCTCTCCCTCTCTCCTCTTCTCTTCCCACCTCCCTCTTTCTGTTCCCTTCTTCTATCCTTCCCTCCTCTTCCTACCACCCTCTTCTTTTCCCTACCACTTCTTCTTACTCCTCCATCATTCCTTCCTTTCCTTTCTTTCCCCCTTTTCCTACAAAATATATATTCCGTCCTCATAGCGATTAGGCTATGTCGAAATTTCCTCGTCTTGGAAAAACCATTATATTCGGCTTGTACTTGCTCTTCCCCTATTAATGAATAACTGCTCTCGCCCACCGGCGCTTAGCTTCGGAGTTCTGATGGGATCCGGCGTAGTAGCCGAGGTATGATCGTACCACGTCAACCCCGTGCCCCGACCGGTACACACCCCTTGCCCGGGTCCCCCCTTCATAGTCACACCCCCTGCCCCCTCATGCCATCCGCTCCCCCCGCCCCTACCCTCCGCGTGCCCGCTCCCTTGCCGCCTCTTTTGACCCTCCCTGCCCCCCTCGCCATTTCCCACCGCCCGCCATTCGCTCCTCCCCGCCCGTGCGCTCCCCTCGTTTACCTTCTCCTCCCCCCTCCCCTCCTCTGCTGCACGCCTCTTCCTTCCCCTCGCCGACCCACTCCACTCCCTGCCCCTCCTCAATCCGCACCCTGCCCCTCGTATCTCGCCCCCCTATGCTTAATTTCTCCCCTCCCTGCCCCTCGCCGCCTTTCTCCGCCCCCCACCTCCCCCCTCTCCCTGCCCCCCCACTCTCCCACCCTTGCCCTTGGCTTCCTACCTCCCTGCCCCACCTTTCCCCCCTCTGTGTGCTCAGCTTCTCCCCTCCCTGCCCCTCCCTCCTCCCCGCCCTGCCCCTCGTTTTCCGCCCCCCCACGCCCGGTTTCTCCCCTCCCCGCGCCTCCCTTTCTTTCTCCGTGCCTCTCCATCTGCTCCCTCCCTGCCCCCGCCTGCCCATGCCCCTGTCTTTGGCTTCTCCCCTCCCTGCCCCACGTTTCTTCCCTCCCTGCCCACCCCCTCTGCCCCTCCCTTGTTTTCCCCTCACCCATTGCTTCTCCCCTCCCTGCCCTTGATTTCCCGCACCCCTGCCCTTGTTTCCTACCATCCATGCCCCTCGTTTCCCCCCCTTTGTACGTTCAGCCTCTTCCCTCCCTGCCCCTCCCTTCCTCCCCCCCTGCCCTTTGCTCTCCCCTCGTTACGCTCCCTTCTCCCCATCCCTGCTGCCCTCTTACCACCATCAGCCCATCCCCACCACCAGCCCCCCTCCCACCCTTCTCTCCCCCCCTCCCTTTCCCTCTCTCTCTTTCTCACACACACACACGCACACTCCCCTCCCCCACCCCCCCACCCACATCCTCCCATTCTGCCCCTCCCTGCCCCTTTCCCACCCCCTCGCACGCCCCTCACCTCCCACCTCCGTGCAACTGGTTTCCCCCCCTATGGTGCCTCCCTTGCATCGCTCGCCCCTCTGCTCACCCTCTGCCCGCCCCTTTTCCGTGCCCTCAGCTGGCCCAGCCCCTGCCCGTTGCTGCCCCTCCCCTTGCCCCCTCAACTCCCCTGCCCCCCGTACACCCCAGTCCCATCCAACCGCCCCCACCCTCCCCCGGCTGCCCGTTTCCGCTCTCCACCCCCGCGACCGTGTGCGGCTTCCAACCGCCCAACGGTGGTGCGCACGGGGCGTTTCTTCGCACGGGCAAGCCTCCCCGGGGGCCCCCCACCCCGCTGGGTCGTTGTTCGGGCAAAAAAAACGAAAATGAAAAAATCGGACGCGCTGAAATCGTCCTTTCTTTTTCCCGCTTGCCCCTCCCCCGGCACGTGCCGAGCAAGGGGCATAAATGGGTACAACACGAGGACTTCCCGGGAGGTCACCCAGCCCAGTACTGCTCTCGCCCACTTCTTTCCCTACCACTTCTTCTTACTCCTTCATCTTTCCTTCCTTTCCTTTCTTTCCCCCTTTTCCTACAAAATATATATACCGTCCTCATAGCGATTAGGCTATGTCGAAATTTCCTAGTCTTGGAAAAACCATTATATTCGGCTTGTATTTGCTCTTCCCTTATTAATGAATAACTGCTCTCGCCCACCGGCGCTTAGCTTCGGAGTTCTGATGGGATCCGGCGTAGTAGCCGAGGTATGATCGTACCACGTCAACCCCGTGCCCCGACCGGTACACACCCCTTGCCCGGGTCCCCCCTTCATAGTCACACCCCCTGCCCCCTCATGCCATCCGCTCCCCCCGCCCCTACCCTCCGCGTGCCCGCTCCCTTGCCGCCTCTTTTGACCCTCCCTGCCCCCCTCGCCGTTTCCCACCGCCCGCCATTCGCTCCTCCCCGCCCGTGCGCTCCCCTCGTTTACCTTCTCCTCCCCCCTCCCCTCCTCTGCTGCACGCCTCTTCCTTCCCCTCGCCGACCCACTCCACTCCCTGCCCCTCCTCAATCCGCACCCTGCCCCTCGTATCTCGCCCCCCTATGCTTGGTTTCTCCCCTCCCTGCCCCTCGCCGCCTTTCTCCGCCCCCCACCTCCCCCCTCTCCCTGCCCCCCCACTCTCCCACCCTTGCCCTTGGCTTCCTACCTCCCTGCCCCACCTTTCCCCCCTCTGTGTGCTCAGCTTCTCCCCTCCCTGCCCCTCCCTCCTCCCCGCCCTGCCCCTCGTTTTCCGCCCCCCCACGCCCGGTTTCTCCCCTCCCCGCGCCTCCCTTTCTTTCTCCGTGCCTCTCCTCTGCTCCCTCCCTGCCCCCGCCTGCCCATGCCCCTGTCTTTGGCTTCTCCCCTCCCTGCCCCACGTTTCTTCCCTCCCTGCCCACCCCCTCTGCCCCTCCCTTGTTTTCCCCTCACCCATTGCTTCTCCCCTCCCTGCCCTTGATTTCCCGCACCCCTGCCCTTGTTTCCTACCATCCATGCCCCTCGTTTCCCCCCCTTTGTACGTTCAGCCTCTTCCCTCCCTGCCCCTCCCTTCCTCCCCCCCTGCCCTTTGCTCTCCCCTCGTTACGCTCCCTTCTCCCCATCCCTGCTGCCCTCTTACCACCATCAGCCCATCCCCACCACCAGCCCCCCTCCCACCCTTCTCTCCCCCCCTCCCTTTCCCTCTCTCTCTTTCTCACACACACACACGCACACTCCCCTCCCCCACCCCCCACCCACATCCTCCCATTCTGCCCCTCCCTGCCCCTTTCCCACCCCCTCGCACGCCCCTCACCTCCCACCTCCGTGCAACTGGTTTCCCCCCCTATGGTGCCTCCCTTGCATCGCTCGCCCCTCTGCTCACCCTCTGCCCGCCCCTTTTCCGTGCCCTCAGCTGGCCCAGCCCCTGCCCGTTGCTGCCCCTCCCCTTGCCCCCTCAACTCCCCTGCCCCCCGTACACCCCAGTCCCATCCAACCGCCCCCACCCTCCCCCGGCTGCCCGTTTCCGCTCTCCACCCCCGCGACCATGTGCGGCTTCCAACCGCCCAACGGTGGTGCGCACGGGGCGTTTCTTCGCACGGGCAAGCCTCCCCGGGGGCCCCCCACCCCGCTGGGTCGTTGTTCGGGCAAAAAAAACGAAAATGAAAAAATCGGACGCGCTGAAATCGTCCTTTCTTTTTCCCGCTTGCCCCTCCCCCGGCACGTGCCGAGCAAGGGGCATAAATGGGTACAACACGAGGACTTCCCGGGAGGTCACCCAGCCCAGTACTGCTCTCGCCCATAGCGAGACCGTCCTCATAGCGATTAGGCTATGTCGAAATTTCCTAGTCTTGGAAAAACCATTATATTCGGCTTGTATTTGCTCTTCCCTTATTAATGAATAACTGCTCTCGCCCACCGGCCCTTAGCTTCGGAGTTCTGATGGGATCCGGCGTAGTAGCCGAGGTATGATCGTACCACGTCAACCCCGTGCCCCGACCGGTACACACCCCTTGCCTGGGTCCCCCCTTCATAGTCACACCCCCTGCCCCCTCATGCCATCCGCTCCCCCCGCCCCTACCCTCCGCGTGCCCGCTCCCTTGCCGCCTCTTTTGACCCTCCCTGCCCCCCTCGCCGTTTCCCACCGCCCGCCATTCGCTCCTCCCCGCCCGTGCGCTCCCCTCGTTTACCTTCTCCTCCCCCCTCCCCTCCTCTGCTGCACGCCTCTTCCTTCCCCTCGCCGACCCACTCCACTCCCTGCCCCTCCTCAATCCGCACCCTGCCCCTCGTATCTCGCCCCCCTATGCTTGGTTTCTCCCCTCCCTGCCCCTCGCCGCCTTTCTCCGCCCCCCACCTCCCCCCTCTCCCTGCCCCCCCACTCTCCCACCCTTGCCCTTGGCTTCCTACCTCCCTGCCCCACCTTTCCCCCCTCTGTGTGCTCAGCTTCTCCCCTCCCTGCCCCTCCCTCCTCCCCGCCCTGCCCCTCGTTTTCCGCCCCCCCACGCCCGGTTTCTCCCCTCCCCGCGCCTCCCTTTCTTTCTCCAGTGCCTCTCCTCTGCTCCCTCCCTGCCCCCGCCTGCCCATGCCCCTGTCTTTGGCTTCTCCCCTCCCTGCCCCACGTTTCTTCCCTCCCTGCCCACCCCCTCTGCCCCTCCCTTGTTTTCCCCTCACCCATTGCTTCTCCCCTCCCTGCCCTTGATTTCCCGCACCCCTGCCCTTGTTTCCTACCATCCATGCCCCTCGTTTCCCCCCCTTTGTACGTTCAGCCTCTTCCCTCCCTGCCCCTCCCTTCCTCCCCCCCTGCCCTTTGCTCTCCCCTCGTTACGCTCCCTTCTCCCCATCCCTGCTGCCCTCTTACCACCATCAGCCCATCCCCACCACCAGCCCCCCTCCCACCCTTCTCTCCCCCCCTCCCTTTCCCTCTCTCTCTTTCTCACACACACACACGCACACTCCCCTCCCCCACCCCCCCACCCACATCCTCCCATTCTGCCCCTCCCTGCCCCTTTCCCACCCCCTCGCACGCCCCTCACCTCCCACCTCCGTGCAACTGGTTTCCCCCCCTATGGTGCCTCCCTTGCATCGCTCGCCCCTCTGCTCACCCTCTGCCCGCCCCTTTTCCGTGCCCTCAGCTGGCCCAGCCCCTGCCCGTTGCTGCCCCTCCCCTTGCCCCCTCAACTCCCCTGCCCCCCGTACACCCCAGTCCCATCCAACCGCCCCCACCCTCCCCCGGCTGCCCGTTTCCGCTCTCCACCCCCGCGACCGTGTGCGGCTTCCAACCGCCCAACGGTGGTGCGCACGGGGCGTTTCTTCGCACGGGCAAGCCTCCCCGGGGGCCCCCCACCCCGCTGGGTCGTTGTTCGGGCAAAAAAAACGAAAATGAAAAAATCGGACGCGCTGAAATCGTCCTTTCTTTTTCCCGCTTGCCCCTCCCCCGGCACGTGCCGAGCAAGGGGCATAAATGGGTACAACACGAGGACTTCCCGGGAGGTCACCCAGCCCAGTACTGCTCTCGCCCACTTCTTTCCCTACCACTTCTTCTTACTCCTTCATCTTTCCTTCCTTTCCTTTCTTTCCCCCTTTTCCTACAAAATATATATACCGTCCTCATAGCGATTAGGCTATGTCGAAATTTCCTAGTCTTGGAAAAACCATTATATTCGGCTTGTATTTGCTCTTCCCTTATTAATGAATAACTGCTCTCGCCCACCGGCGCTTAGCTTCGGAGTTCTGATGGGATCCGGCGTAGTAGCCGAGGTATGATCGTACCACGTCAACCCCGTGCCCCGACCGGTACACACCCCTTGCCCGGGTCCCCCCTTCATAGTCACACCCCCTGCCCCCTCATGCCATCCGCTCCCCCCGCCCCTACCCTCCGCGTGCCCGCTCCCTTGCCGCCTCTTTTGACCCTCCCTGCCCCCCTCGCCGTTTCCCACCGCCCGCCATTCGCTCCTCCCCGCCCGTGCGCTCCCCTCGTTTACCTTCTCCTCCCCCCTCCCCTCCTCTGCTGCACGCCTCTTCCTTCCCCTCGCCGACCCACTCCACTCCCTGCCCCTCCTCAATCCGCACCCTGCCCCTCGTATCTCGCCCCCCTATGCTTGGTTTCTCCCCTCCCTGCCCCTCGCCGCCTTTCTCCGCCCCCCACCTCCCCCCTCTCCCTGCCCCCCCACTCTCCCACCCTTGCCCTTGGCTTCCTACCTCCCTGCCCCACCTTTCCCCCCTCTGTGTGCTCAGCTTCTCCCCTCCCTGCCCCTCCCTCCTCCCCGCCCTGCCCCTCGTTTTCCGCCCCCCCACGCCCGGTTTCTCCCCTCCCCGCGCCTCCCTTTCTTTCTCCGTGCCTCTCCTCTGCTCCCTCCCTGCCCCCGCCTGCCCATGCCCCTGTCTTTGGCTTCTCCCCTCCCTGCCCCACGTTTCTTCCCTCCCTGCCCACCCCCTCTGCCCCTCCCTTGTTTTCCCCTCACCCATTGCTTCTCCCCTCCCTGCCCTTGATTTCCCGCACCCCTGCCCTTGTTTCCTACCATCCATGCCCCTCGTTTCCCCCCCTTTGTACGTTCAGCCTCTTCCCTCCCTGCCCCTCCCTTCCTCCCCCCCTGCCCTTTGCTCTCCCCTCGTTACGCTCCCTTCTCCCCATCCCTGCTGCCCTCTTACCACCATCAGCCCATCCCCACCACCAGCCCCCCTCCCACCCTTCTCTCCCCCCCTCCCTTTCCCTCTCTCTCTTTCTCACACACACACACGCACACTCCCCTCCCCCACCCCCCACCCACATCCTCCCATTCTGCCCCTCCCTGCCCCTTTCCCACCTCCTCGCACGCCCCTCACCTCCCACCTCCGTGCAACTGGTTTCCCCCCCTATGGTGCCTCCCTTGCATCGCTCGCCCCTCTGCTCACCCTCTGCCCGCCCCTTTTCCGTGCCCTCAGCTGGCCCAGCCCCTGCCCGTTGCTGCCCCTCCCCTTGCCCCCTCAACTCCCCTGCCCCCCGTACACCCCAGTCCCATCCAACCGCCCCCACCCTCCCCCGGCTGCCCGTTTCCGCTCTCCACCCCCGCGACCGTGTGCGGCTTCCAACCGCCCAACGGTGGTGCGCACGGGGCGTTTCTTCGCACGGGCAAGCCTCCCCGGGGGCCCCCCACCCCGCTGGGTCGTTGTTCGGGCAAAAAAACGAAAATGAAAAAATCGGACGCGCTGAAATCGTCCTTTCTTTTTCCCGCTTGCCCCTCCCCCGGCACGTGCCGAGCAAGGGGCATAAATGGGTACAACACGAGGACTTCCCGGGAGGTCACCCAGCCCAGTACTGCTCTCGCCCATAGCGAGACCGTCTTCTTTTCCCTACCACTTCTTCTTACTCCTCCATCATTCCTTCCTTTCCTTTCTTTCCACCTTTTCCTACAAAATATATATTCCGTCCTCATAGCGATTAGGCTATGTCGAAATGTCCTAGTCTTGGAAAAACCATTATATTCGGCTTGTACTTGCTCATCCCCTATTGATGAATAACTGCTCTCGCCCACCGGCGCTTAGCTTCGGAGTTCTGATGGGATCCGGCGTAGTAGCCGAGGTATGATCGTACCACGTCAACCCCGTGCCCCGACCGGTACACACCCCTTGCCCGGGTCCCCCCTTCATAGTCACACCCCCTGCACCCTCATGCCATCCGCTCCCCCCGCCCCTACCCTCCGCGTGCCCGCTCCCTTGCCGCCTCTTTTGACCCTCCCTGCCCCCCTCGCCGTTTCCCACCGCCCGCCATTCGCACCTCCCCGCCCGTGCGCTCCCCTCGTTTACCTTCTCCTCCCCCCCTCCCCTCCTCTGCTGCACGCCTCTTCCTTCCCCTCGCCGACCCACTCCACTCCCTGCCCCTCCTCAATCCGCACCCTGCCCCTCGTATCTCGCCCCCCTATGCTTGGTTTCTCCCCTCCCTGCCCCTCGCCGCCTTTCTCCGCCCCCCACCTCCCCCCTCTCCCTGCCCCCCCACTCTCCCACCCTTGCCCTTGGCTTCCTACCTCCCTGCCCCACCTTTCCCCCCTCTGTGTGCTCAGCTTCTCCCCTCCCTGCCCCTCCCTCCTCCCCGCCCTGCCCCTCGTTTTCCGCCCCCCCACGCCCGGTTTCTCCCCTCCCCGCGCCTCCCTTTCTTTCTCCGTGCCTCTCCTCTGCTCCCTCCCTGCCCCCGCCTGCCCATGCCCCTGTCTTTGGCTTCTCCCCTCCCTGCCCCACGTTTCTTCCCTCCCTGCCCACCCCCTCTGCCCCTCCCTTGTTTTCCCCTCACCCATTGCTTCTCCCCTCCCTGCCCTTGATTTCCCGCACCCCTGCCCTTGTTTCCTACCATCCATGCCCCTCGTTTCCCCCCCTTTGTACGTTCAGCCTCTTCCCTCCCTGCCCCTCCCTTCCTCCCCCCCTGCCCTTTGCTCTCCCCTCGTTACGCTCCCTTCTCCCCATCCCTGCTGCCCTCTTACCACCATCAGCCCATCCCCACCACCAGCCCCCCTCCCACCCTTCTCTCCCCCCCTCCCTTTCCCTCTCTCTCTTTCTCACACACACACACGCACACTCCCCTCCCCCACCCCCCACCCACATCCTCCCATTCTGCCCCTCCCTGCCCCTTTCCCACCCCCTCGCACGCCCCTCACCTCCCACCTCCGTGCAACTGGTTTCCCCCCCTATGGTGCCTCCCTTGCATCGCTCGCCCCTCTGCTCACCCTCTGCCCGCCCCTTTTCCGTGCCCTCAGCTGGCCCAGCCCCTGCCCGTTGCTGCCCCTCCCCTTGCCCCCTCAACTCCCCTGCCCCCCGTACACCCCAGTCCCATCCAACCGCCCCCACCCTCCCCCGGCTGCCCGTTTCCGCTCTCCACCCCCGCGACCGTGTGCGGCTTCCAACCGCCCAACGGTGGTGCGCACGGGGCGTTTCTTCGCACGGGCAAGCCTCCTCGGGGGCCCCCCACCCCGCTGGGTCGTTGTTCGGGCAAAAAAAACGAAAATGAAAAAATCGGACGCGCTGAAATCGTCCTTTCTTTTTCCCGCTTGCCCCTCCCCCGGCACGTGCCGAGCAAGGGGCATAAATGGGTACAACACGAGGACTTCCCGGGAGGTCACCCAGCCCAGTACTGCTCTCGCCCATAGCGAGACCGTCCTCATAGCGATTAGGCTATGTCGAAATTTCCTAGTCTTGGAAAAACCATTATATTCGGCTTGTATTTGCTCTTCCCTTATTAATGAATAACTGCTCTCGCCCACCGGCGCTTAGCTTCGGAGTTCTGATGGGATCCGGCGTAGTAGCCGAGGTATGATCGTACCACGTCAACCCCGTGCCCCGACCGGTACACACCCCTTGCCCGGGTCCCCCCTTCATAGTCACACCCCCTGCCCCCTCATGCCATCCGCTCCCCCCGCCCCTACCCTCCGCGTGCCCGCTCCCTTGCCGCCTCTTTTGACCCTCCCTGCCCCCCTCGCCGTTTCCCACCGCCCGCCATTCGCTCCTCCCCGCCCGTGCGCTCCCCTCGTTTACCTTCTCCTCCCCCCTCCCCTCCTCTGCTGCACGCCTCTTCCTTCCCCTCGCCGACCCACTCCACTCCCTGCCCCTCCTCAATCCGCACCCTGCCCCTCGTATCTCGCCCCCCTATGCTTGGTTTCTCCCCTCCCTGCCCCTCGCCGCCTTTCTCCGCCCCCCACCTCCCCCCTCTCCCTGCCCCCCCACTCTCCCACCCTTGCCCTTGGCTTCCTACCTCCCTGCCCCACCTTTCCCCCCTCTGTGTGCTCAGCTTCTCCCCTCCCTGCCCCTCCCTCCTCCCCGCCCTGCCCCTCGTTTTCCGCCCCCCCACGCCCGGTTTCTCCCCTCCCCGCGCCTCCCTTTCTTTCTCCGTGCCTCTCCTCTGCTCCCTCCCTGCCCCCGCCTGCCCATGCCCCTGTCTTTGGCTTCTCCCCTCCCTGCCCCACGTTTCTTCCCTCCCTGCCCACCCCCTCTGCCCCTCCCTTGTTTTCCCCTCACCCATTGCTTCTCCCCTCCCTGCCCTTGATTTCCCGCACCCCTGCCCTTGTTTCCTACCATCCATGCCCCTCGTTTCCCCCCCTTTGTACGTTCAGCCTCTTCCCTCCCTGCCCCTCCCTTCCTCCCCCCCTGCCCTTTGCTCTCCCCTCGTTACGCTCCCTTCTCCCCATCCCTGCTGCCCTCTTACCACCATCAGCCCATCCCCACCACCAGCCCCCCTCCCACCCTTCTCTCCCCCCCTCCCTTTCCCTCTCTCTCTTTCTCACACACACACACGCACACTCCCCTCCCCCACCCCCCACCCACATCCTCCCATTCTGCCCCTCCCTGCCCCTTTCCCACCCCCTCGCACGCCCCTCACCTCCCACCTCCGTGCAACTGGTTTCCCCCCCTATGGTGCCTCCCTTGCATCGCTCGCCCCTCTGCTCACCCTCTGCCCGCCCCTTTTCCGTGCCCTCAGCTGGCCCAGCCCCTGCCCGTTGCTGCCCCTCCCCTTGCCCCCTCAACTCCCCTGCCCCCCGTACACCCCAGTCCCATCCAACCGCCCCCACCCTCCCCCGGCTGCCCGTTTCCGCTCTCCACCCCCGCGACCGTGTGCGGCTTCCAACCGCCCAACGGTGGTGCGCACGGGGCGTTTCTTCGCACGGGCAAGCCTCCTCGGGGGCCCCCCACCCCGCTGGGTCGTTGTTCGGGCAAAAAAACGAAAATGAAAAAATCGGACGCGCTGAAATCGTCCTTTCTTTTTCCCGCTTGCCCCTCCCCCGGCACGTGCCGAGCAAGGGGCATAAATGGGTACAACACGAGGACTTCCCGGGAGGTCACCCAGCCCAGTACTGCTCTCGCCCATAGCGAGACCGTCCTCATAGCGATTAGGCTATGTCGAAATTTCCTAGTCTTGGAAAAACCATTATATTCGGCTTGTATTTGCTCTTCCCATTATTAATGAATAACTGCTCTCGCCCACCGGCGCTTAGCTTCGGAGTTCTGATGGGATCCGGCGTAGTAGCCGAGGTATGATCGTACCACGTCAACCCCGTGCCCCGACCGGTACACACCCCTTGCCCGGGTCCCCCCTTCATAGTCACACCCCCTGCCCCCTCATGCCATCCGCTCCCCCCGCCCCTACCCTCCGCGTGCCCGCTCCCTTGCCGCCTCTTTTGACCCTCCCTGCCCCCCTCGCCGTTTCCCACCGCCCGCCATTCGCTCCTCCCCGCCCGTGCGCTCCCCTCGTTTACCTTCTCCTCCCCCCTCCCCTCCTCTGCTGCACGCCTCTTCCTTCCCCTCGCCGACCCACTCCACTCCCTGCCCCTCCTCAATCCGCACCCTGCCCCTCGTATCTCGCCCCCCTATGCTTGGTTTCTCCCCTCCCTGCCCCTCGCCGCCTTTCTCCGCCCCCCACCTCCCCCCTCTCCCTGCCCCCCCACTCTCCCACCCTTGCCCTTGGCTTCCTACCTCCCTGCCCCACCTTTCCCCCCTCTGTGTGCTCAGCTTCTCCCCTCCCTGCCCCTCCCTCCTCCCCGCCCTGCCCCTCGTTTTCCGCCCCCCCACGCCCGGTTTCTCCCCTCCCCGCGCCTCCCTTTCTTTCTCCGTGCCTCTCCTCTGCTCCCTCCCTGCCCCCGCCTGCCCATGCCCCTGTCTTTGGCTTCTCCCCTCCCTGCCCCACGTTTCTTCCCTCCCTGCCCACCCCCTCTGCCCCTCCCTTGTTTTCCCCTCACCCATTGCTTCTCCCCTCCCTGCCCTTGATTTCCCGCACCCCTGCCCTTGTTTCCTACCATCCATGCCCCTCGTTTCCCCCCCTTTGTACGTTCAGCCTCTTCCCTCCCTGCCCCTCCCTTCCTCCCCCCCTGCCCTTTGCTCTCCCCTCGTTACGCTCCCTTCTCCCCATCCCTGCTGCCCTCTTACCACCATCAGCCCATCCCCACCACCAGCCCCCCTCCCACCCTTCTCTCCCCCCCTCCCTTTCCCTCTCTCTCTTTCTCACACACACACACGCACACTCCCCTCCCCCACCCCCCACCCACATCCTCCCATTCTGCCCCTCCCTGCCCCTTTCCCACCCCCTCGCACGCCCCTCACCTCCCACCTCCGTGCAACTGGTTTCCCCCCCTATGGTGCCTCCCTTGCATCGCTCGCCCCTCTGCTCACCCTCTGCCCGCCCCTTTTCCGTGCCCTCAGCTGGCCCAGCCCCTGCCCGTTGCTGCCCCTCCCCTTGCCCCCTCAACTCCCCTGCCCCCCGTACACCCCAGTCCCATCCAACCGCCCCCACCCTCCCCCGGCTGCCCGTTTCCGCTCTCCACCCCCGCGACCGTGTGCGGCTTCCAACCGCCCAACGGTGGTGCGCACGGGGCGTTTCTTCGCACGGGCAAGCCTCCCCGGGGGCCCCCCACCCCGCTGGGTCGTTGTTCGGGCAAAAAAACGAAAATGAAAAAATCGGACGCGCTGAAATCGTCCTTTCTTTTTCCCGCTTGCCCCTCCCCCGGCACGTGCCGAGCAAGGGGCATAAATGGGTACAACACGAGGACTTCCCGGGAGGTCACCCAGCCCAGTACTGCTCTCGCCCATAGCGAGACCGTCCTCATAGCGATTAGGCTATGTCGAAATTTCCTAGTCTTGGAAAAACCATTATATTCGGCTTGTATTTGCTCTTCCCTTATTAATGAATAACTGCTCTCGCCCACCGGCGCTTAGCTTCGGAGTTCTGATGGGATCCGGCGTAGTAGCCGAGGTATGATCGTACCACGTCAACCCCGTGCCCCGACCGGTACACACCCCTTGCCCGGGTCCCCCCTTCATAGTCACACCCCCTGCCCCCTCATGCCATCCGCTCCCCCCGCCCCTACCCTCCGCGTGCCCGCTCCCTTGCCGCCTCTTTTGACCCTCCCTGCCCCCCTCGCCGTTTCCCACCGCCCGCCATTCGCTCCTCCCCGCCCGTGCGCTCCCCTCGTTTACCTTCTCCTCCCCCCTCCCCTCCTCTGCTGCACGCCTCTTCCTTCCCCTCGCCGACCCACTCCACTCCCTGCCCCTCCTCAATCCGCACCCTGCCCCTCGTATCTCGCCCCCCTATGCTTGGTTTCTCCCCTCCCTGCCCCTCGCCGCCTTTCTCCGCCCCCCACCTCCCCCCTCTCCCTGCCCCCCCACTCTCCCACCCTTGCCCTTGGCTTCCTACCTCCCTGCCCCACCTTTCCCCCCTCTGTGTGCTCAGCTTCTCCCCTCCCTGCCCCTCCCTCCTCCCCGCCCTGCCCCTCGTTTTCCGCCCCCCCACGCCCGGTTTCTCCCCTCCCCGCGCCTCCCTTTCTTTCTCCGTGCCTCTCCTCTGCTCCCTCCCTGCCCCCGCCTGCCCATGCCCCTGTCTTCTGGCTTCTCCCCTCCCTGCCCCACGTTTCTTCCCTCCCTGCCCACCCCCTCTGCCCCTCCCTTGTTTTCCCCTCACCCATTGCTTCTCCCCTCCCTGCCCTTGATTTCCCGCACCCCTGCCCTTGTTTCCTACCATCCATGCCCCTCGTTTCCCCCCCTTTGTACGTTCAGCCTCTTCCCTCCCTGCCCCTCCCTTCCTCCCCCCCTGCCCTTTGCTCTCCCCTCGTTACGCTCCCTTCTCCCCATCCCTGCTGCCCTCTTACCACCATCAGCCCATCCCCACCACCAGCCCCCCTCCCACCCTTCTCTCCCCCCCTCCCTTTCCCTCTCTCTCTTTCTCACACACACACACGCACACTCCCCTCCCCCACCCCCCACCCACATCCTCCCATTCTGCCCCTCCCTGCCCCTTTCCCACCCCCTCGCACGCCCCTCACCTCCCACCTCCGTGCAACTGGTTTCCCCCCCCTATGGTGCCTCCCTTGCATCGCTCGCCCCTCTGCTCACCCTCTGCCCGCCCCTTTTCCGTGCCCTCAGCTGGCCCAGCCCCTGCCCGTTGCTGCCCCTCCCCTTGCCCCCTCAACTCCCCTGCCCCCCGTACACCCCAGTCCCATCCAACCGCCCCCACCCTCCCCCGGCTGCCCGTTTCCGCTCTCCACCCCCGCGACCGTGTGCGGCTTCCAACCGCCCAACGGTGGTGCGCACGGGGCGTTTCTTCGCACGGGCAAGCCTCCCCGGGGGCCCCCCACCCCGCTGGGTCGTTGTTCGGGCAAAAAAACGAAAATGAAAAAATCGGACGCGCTGAAATCGTCCTTTCTTTTTCCCGCTTGCCCCTCCCCCGGCACGTGCCGAGCAAGGGGCATAAATGGGTACAACACGAGGACTTCCCGGGAGGTCACCCAGCCCAGTACTGCTCTCGCCCACCGTCCTCTAGCTTAGGCTATGTCGAAATTTCCTAGTCTTGGAAAAACCATTATATTCGGCTTGTATTTGCTCTTCCCTTATTAATGAATAACTGCTCTCGCCCACCGGCGCTTAGCTTCGGAGTTCTGATGGGATCCGGCGTAGTAGCCGAGGTATGATCGTACCACGTCAACCCCGTGCCCCGACCGGTACACACCCCTTGCCCGGGTCCCCCCTTCATAGTCACACCCCCTGCCCCCTCATGCCATCCGCTCCCCCCGCCCCTACCCTCCGCGTGCCCGCTCCCTTGCCGCCTCTTTTGACCCTCCCTGCCCCCCTCGCCGTTTCCCACCGCCCGCCATTCGCTCCTCCCCGCCCGTGCGCTCCCCTCGTTTACCTTCTCCTCCCCCCTCCCCTCCTCTGCTGCACGCCTCTTCCTTCCCCTCGCCGACCCACTCCACTCCCTGCCCCTCCTCAATCCGCACCCTGCCCCTCGTATCTCGCCCCCCTATGCTTGGTTTCTCCCCTCCCTGCCCCTCGCCGCCTTTCTCCGCCCCCCACCTCCCCCCTCTCCCTGCCCCCCCCACTCTCCCACCCTTGCCCTTGGCTTCCTACCTCCCTGCCCCACCTTTCCCCCCTCTGTGTGCTCAGCTTCTCCCCTCCCTGCCCCTCCCTCCTCCCCGCCCTGCCCCTCGTTTTCCGCCCCCCCACGCCCGGTTTCTCCCCTCCCCGCGCCTCCCTTTCTTTCTCCGTGCCTCTCCTCTGCTCCCTCCCTGCCCCCGCCTGCCCATGCCCCTGTCTTTGGCTTCTCCCCTCCCTGCCCCACGTTTCTTCCCTCCCTGCCCACCCCCTCTGCCCCTCCCTTGTTTTCCCCTCACCCATTGCTTCTCCCCTCCCTGCCCTTGATTTCCCGCACCCCTGCCCTTGTTTCCTACCATCCATGCCCCTCGTTTCCCCCCCTTTGTACGTTCAGCCTCTTCCCTCCCTGCCCCTCCCTTCCTCCCCCCCTGCCCTTTGCTCTCCCCTCGTTACGCTCCCTTCTCCCCATCCCTGCTGCCCTCTTACCACCATCAGCCCATCCCCACCACCAGCCCCCCTCCCACCCTTCTCTCCCCCCCTCCCTTTCCCTCTCTCTCTTTCTCACACACACACACGCACACTCCCCTCCCCCACCCCCCACCCACATCCTCCCATTCTGCCCCTCCCTGCCCCTTTCCCACCCCCTCGCACGCCCCTCACCTCCCACCTCCGTGCAACTGGTTTCCCCCCTATGGTGCCTCCCTTGCATCGCTCGCCCCTCTGCTCACCCTCTGCCCGCCCCTTTTCCGTGCCCTCAGCTGGCCCAGCCCCTGCCCGTTGCTGCCCCTCCCCTTGCCCCCTCAACTCCCCTGCCCCCCGTACACCCCAGTCCCATCCAACCGCCCCCACCCTCCCCCGGCTGCCCGTTTCCGCTCTCCACCCCCGCGACCGTGCGCGGCTTCCAACCGCCCAACGGTGGTGCGCACGGGGCGTTTCTTCGCACGGGCAAGCCTCCCCGGGGGCCCCCCACCCCGCTGGGTCGTTGTTCGGGCAAAGAAACGAAAATAAAAAAATCGGACGCGCTGAAATCGTCCTTTCTTTTTCCCGCTTGCCCCTCCCCCGGCACGTGCCGAGCAAGGGGCATAAATGGGTACAACACGAGGACTTCCTGGGAGGTCACCCAGCCCAGTACTGCTCTCGCCCACGGTGATAGTTGTTCATCTTATAGTTATAAGCGTTTCCAACAGTTAGTTTTCCAGTTTCGACTGTCGAGTCCGACGGGTCGGGGGTCGCGAGTTTCGCGCGTGACCCTCAGGAGTCTCGGAAACGGAACTCGCGGGGTGTTACGGAACCGCTCGTTCGACCCCGCCATCGCGGGAAGGCTGCGGACGCGCTGCAGCCGGTGTAACGGGAGGTGGGGCGTTGACGCGAAGTTCGCCCGCGGAGTGTAACAGCGCGCGCGACTCACAACCACAACTCCGCCAGACACGGTGTTCCCGCCCATCCCCTCTCTCGACACTCTCCCTTATCCCCCCGCTCTTTTCTGCCCACGGCTTTTCTATTCGAAGCGATTAGCTACTACCGATTTTCTTCCCACGGTTTCCCTCTCTCGAAGTCACTGAGCTTAGCTTCCGCCCGTAGTTAGCATTCTTCCTTCCCTTTCAGTGCGCCCTTCTTTATCGAAACCCTAATTCGAAGAGCCGCGCGTTTTCAAGCAAACTTTCTCGTCGCCTGTCATGTTTAGTCACGCACTCATTTTCCCCGCCTGTTCAATCTAGGGTTCCTGCTCACACCGCCCCTTTCCCCCTCACACGCGCGCTTTAGCCACCCCGCCACCTAACCTCTTTCCCTAATGGCGCTTAGCTAGCAGAGGCCGCCCTGTCTCTGGAAACCGTAGGAAATAAGGGGAAACAACTTCAAAGAAAAAAAAATATTCATATAAATCGGAAAAAAACCAGAAAAAAAATCAGAATGGCAGCTTACACTTTGTTCTCCCAACCCTCCAGGGCCCCATCCAGTCCGCCACCCCCCCATTCTGTTTCATCATACTGCACCACACCCTCCCCTTTCGCCCACCAGCATTACCGCCCCTTTCCCCTTATCCCCCACCACGCCCCCAAGCAGGCTTTTCTCCCCCCAGCCTCCCGTCTCCCTGCCCTTAGTACCGCCGCGCTCTGCCCGTGCGTCGCCCTTGCCCACTTCATACCACCTCCCCCTTCTCCCCCCCCCCCGGCTTCTCCCTATCATCACCCGCATGTTCCCCCACTCCCCTGTCCACAACGTCCCTCCTCCACCCCCCCTCCTGCCTTCCCCACTCCCACTCTGCCCCCCACACCTCTACGAGCCGTACTTCCCCCTCCAGCCTCCCTTTCCCCCCCAGCTACTTCCGCATCCAGCGTGGGCTGCACCTCTGCATCCCGCCCTGCCAGGCCCTTCGGTGACCCAACTGCCGCCACCTGGCACCACGCCGCCTTTCCCACCCCCATCCAATCTCTACACCCCCTGCCCCTGCTCCCTGCGCAATCCAGCCACCTACCCCAGCCTCCCTCTACCTCTCCCTAACTCCACACCGCCGTTCCTACCCCCAGCCAAGGTCTACACCCCTTGCTTTTGCTCCCTGGGCTGTGCCGTCCCCAACCTCCCTCCGCCTTTCCGCGGCACCAGACCGCCTCTCCCTCCCCCAGCCAACCTTTGCACCCCCTGTTCCTGCCCCTTGTGCCCTCCAACACCCTACCTCAACCCCCCCCAGTCTCCCCCTTCTCCAACACCCTCCATATTTCCTCCCCCTTGGGGCTCGCCCATCCGCAGTTATCACCCTTCATCGTTTCCCCAATTCCCTCTGTCCCCTGTTTCCCGGCCCCGCATCCTATTCTGCATTTACCACAGCGCCTCCTTTCGGTGCCCTCTCTGCCCTCCCACGTTCTCACCCCCCGCCTCCCAACCTTCTCATTACCCGCTACCAGGCTCACGCCAACTCGACTACCCACTACCCTTTGCCCCTTCCTCTCTGTTCCCCACCCTTCCTTTCCCACTTGGCTCCACCTGCCCACCCCCACCTCCCGTGGAATTCTGCCCTGCCCTCCCCACCTCCGGCCCACCACCTGTCCCCACACCCTGCTCACCCACCGCTACATCACCCCCGCCCCCCCACCTCCACTACAGCCCGCCAACACTTCCCCTCTCAACCGGCCCCCAGCCCGCCCCCCCCTTGGGCCCCAATCCCCTCCAACTGTCAGGCCCCCTCTACCCTCTCTTCCACCCACTGCGCACCGCTTTCCCCACCCTTTTCCCCTTTCCCCAAGCTAACCCCCCGCACCCCGGCCTCTGCCAGGGAGTTCCTTCCCCCTTTGACGCCCTCTTGAGCCAACTCCAGCAACTCACACCGCCACCGCCAGGCATGCTGCCTCTGTAACAATGCCCCAGCACCCCGCGAGTGGGGGAAAGGCAGACCCGGGAGCCCCTCGGCGATCTGGGAGGTCCCGCAGCCGAGCCACCCCCTACTCTCCCACTCCCCCCACTTCAACAGTCAGGAAGAAACAACATACACCTAACAAGCAAAAACACTCACACAATCTGACCCTAGGGGCCAGAAGCGTACCTTTGAAGAGGATGGAACAGAGGAACGCCAAGCCCCACTGGAGGAAATACACGAGGAGGAGCCAGCACGCTCAAAACCGCGCCCTACCCCCGCTGCCCCATCCCAGCCTACCCCCCCTTCAGGTGACAGCGGGGGCGGCACCCATGCATGCTCAGTAGAGAGATCCTCCAACTCACTCGCTACCTCCCATTCGCAAACCAGATTACTTGTGAAAACACTTAATCCTACCCGCACCCCCAAGCACATAGAAGCGGGAGAGGGCAGAGCCAGGGGGGAACTTGCAGCTGACACTGCACGGGAAGGGGTAAGTGAGTTTGTGTGTGAAGGAGCAGCAGAGGCTGCAGAGGATGGGGCAGCAAAGGCTGCACGGGAAGGGGCAATGGGGGTTGTGGGGGAAGGGGCAGCAGAGGCTGCAGAGGAAAGGGCAGCAGAGGCTGCAAGGGAAGGGGCAGCAGCGGCTGCACGGGAAAGGGCGGCAGGGGCTGCACGGGAAGGGGCGGCAGGGACCGTGACTCTGGCCAGGCAAAGGGCAGAGGCCATGGAGACAGGTTTTGCAGGAGTAGGGGCCACGGAACCTGCTGCTGTGTCGGCTGGGGGAACCGCAGCAGAGGAGGCTATAGGGACCGCACCAGGTGAGGCCGCACAGACCACAGCAGGTGTGGCTGCAGGGATCACAACGGGTGAGGCTGCAGGAGGGACCATGGCAGGTGAGGCCGCAGGGAGCGCAGTAGGTGAGGCTGCAGGGAGCGCAGCAGGTGAGGCTGTAGGGGGCGCAGCAGGTGAGGCTGCAGAGAGCGCAGCAGGTGAGGCCGCAGGGAGCGCAGCAGGCGGGACTGCAGGGGCCGCAGCAGGTGAGACTGCGGCGGACGCAGCAGGTGAGGCTGCGAGGGCTGCATCATGTAAGGTTGGGCAGACTCTAGCAGGTGAGGCTGCACAGTCTACAGCTGGTGAGGTCGCAGGGACTGCAACAGGTGAGGCCGCAGGGACTACAGCAGGTGAGGCGGCAGAGACCACAGCGGATGAGGCTGCAGGCGGGACCATGGCAGGTGAGGCCGCAGGGAGCGCAGCAGGTGAGGCTGAAATAGCCGCAGCAGGTGAGGCTGCAGAGGCCGCAGCATGTGAGGTTGAGCAGATTCTAGCAGGTGAGGCTGCACAAACTGCAGCAGGTGAGGCCGCAGGGACTGCAGCGGGTGAGGCTGCAAGGACTGCAGCACGTGAGCCTGCAGGGACCGCGGCAGGCAAGGCTGCAGGGATCGCGGCTGGTGAGGCTGAGCAGATTACGGTAGGCGAGGTTTTACAGACTGCAGTAGTCGAGGCTGCAAGGACTGCAGCAGGAGCAACAGAGGCCACAGTGGGGGCTGGTATAGGGGGAGGTGCTACGGGTGCAGCGGGGAAGGGGGTAACGGGGACTGGTGCGAGGGAGAGTGCCGCCTCGGCTGTAGCAAGAGAGGGTACGGCAGGGGCTAGAGTGGGAGAGGGGACAGCAGTGGCCTCAAAGGCAGAAGGTGAGGCTGCAGCTGAAGCAGCAGGGAGGGCCATAGCACGGCCAGTAGGGGCGGCAGGGGCCGCAGCAAACGCGGGGAAACACACAGCAGGGCCGGCAGGGCCGGCAGAGACTGCAAAAGGGGCTAGCAGTAAAGCGGCAGCAGGCGGGGTGGGCTCGGGGGACATAGGGGCAACAGGGGAAGGAGAGGTGAGTGTGGTCCCGACCGGGGTGGGCACTGAAGAGGGGGATGTGATAGCGATAGAGGAGGATGAGGGAGAGGATGTGATCCACATTTACGGGCCACTGGCCCAATACCTCACGCTTGACGGTGAGGCCGACCCGGCCCCCCTGCAGCCTCACGTCGAGATTCCCCCTCTACCCCCCATGCCCGTCCCCATGCTAGCAGAAGGACCGATGGAGGGGCTGGGGGAGACCTTGAGGACAGAGCCGCGCGAGGGAGCCCCCATCCTCACCTCCCGTCCTCCAGCCCACCCACCCCCAGGAGCACCACTTCCCCACCCCCACCCTCAGGTCCCGGTAGTGTCCAGGGGGGCAGCCAAGGCCCTGGCCTTCTTGGCGGAGCCGTGCTCCCCGACCCCCACGCTGCTCAATGGCCAGCTCCCCTCTCCGTCCCCAACGCCTGACCCCACGGTTGCAGGCGGTCCACCGGGAGAGCACGCGGGTGCGACAAGAGCAGAGCCACCCGAGGGCACCCCTTCTCTCACCCCTCACCCCTCCCCGCCCCTTCCCTCACTCCTTCCTTCACCCCCAAGGGCAGCACACCTCTGCCCCCACCCTCAGGGGCTCCTTAGAGCACCACGTGGAGCAGCCAGGGCTCTGGTCTTCCTAGAGGAGCCATGCTCCCCGACTCCTACCAACACCCAGCCACCCCCTACCGGCCCACTACCCCCTCCTCCACCAGGCCCCCCCCCACCCGGTAGTACACACATCTCGGAGGTTGAAGCATCTCTGCGGCCAAATCCCTCTCCCACACGCTACAGGCACCCAAACCACCCGAGTCGCCGCACAGCCCCAACACGCCCACCCAACAGGCTGCCCTCCCCACACCACCCCCCCCAGGCAGCCGAGACCCACCCGCAAGGGCTTGCGCCCCAGGCTCATGGGAGCGGCGGCACCCGGGTAGAGGGGCCCACAGGAGAGGCCACCACAGGGCCCACACAAATCTCTCTCCCCCCACCGTTTGTACCTCGCTCTAACCTCCACACTGGCCCGACCCCTCGACCCCCACCTCCAACCCCCTCTCCCGGCCGGGTTCCCCACGAGTGGCCCCGTTGGGCAGCCATCACCCCCCACACACAGCTTGCCCGATCTGTTCCCACGGAGGGGGATGTTTCGAGGAGAGAGGGGATGCACACAGAGCACCCCCCGCCTGGCGAATCACCCATCCTCCCTCCACCCACCCCTTTGGCCCCACAGCCCCCCCTTCCTTCACAAACAGGCGCGGACAACCAGGTTGGCCGCCGGCGGAAGAACAGGGGCAGAGGGTCAGCCCACGTACTCCCCCCTCCCTCCCTCCCCCACCAAGAGCCCCTCCCTACCTCACATCCCGTTGAACCCTTACCAGGCCCTACCTCTACAGCCCGACCACCAAACCTACACTCCCGCCCCGCTCCTGCACCTCCACAGGGCCATGGGAGCGGTCCAGCCCACTCACCCCCATTCTGCCCCTCCCGTGCTGTGTCCCCCTCCCAGGTGGCGGCGGCCGCGATCGCTACTGGGAGGGAGGCCGTCGGGTTGAGGGATGCGCCCATGGCAGACGCCACCGACTCCCCCTCCCATCCCTCCCACCCCTTCCATGTCGACGACCCCCTACCGCAACCCATGGTGATTGGGGAGGGCCAAGGGGGCCTTCTAGGGCAGGGTCCACACCCGAGCTCCGCTCAGCCAGCACGCCCCACTCCACCCTCTACCCTGCCAGCCCTCCTACTCTCACCTACAGGCAGGCAGGTCTTCGAGACCCCAGAGGATGTGAGGGCTGGCATTTCAGATTTGCTGGCGATACACCGCCTGAGCAGCTCTCCGGCTGCCCCCACCCTTCCAGTCCCACAGGACCGGACCCGGACGTATGCGGAGGTCACCCGGTCTGTCCCTTCTTTTATCCCCCCCGCCACTCAGCTAGGCGCGTCACTCCTGACCCCAATGGAGACGGACCGGGTTCTGAGGCCGTGTCACTCGCACCTAGACGGGGTGGCGCCTCCCCCCGTTCAGCCCGTGGCGCAGGAGGTCACCAGCAGTAGGGATGAGGCATCCGCCCCTACCGAGACCCCTCCGCCTGGGGTAGCAGAGCCGTCACTTGAACCGCACCCCGCCGAGGGGCAGGAGCACACCACGGCACACACTTCAGGCTCACCTCCACGTCCCCCCTCCCCAGCTTCGACACCGGTACCGGCACGAGGCCCGGCCCTATCCTGTGCGACACCACCTCTATCTTCGCTGACACCCCCCCCGCGCGGGGCTGGTGAGCCGTCTCCTCCCCTCATCCCAGGCGATCCTCTCGGAGCTCAGGCCGCCCACGGGGTCCCCTCTACAGCCAGTTCCGACGCCACGGCCCCGATTGACCCCGCCGACACGGCGACATCACCGGACCAGGTCGTGAGTTGCCCCACCTGCAGGAGCTCTCTTGCGAACCGACGCGCGCTCCAGCACCACATTCCCTTCTGCCATCCTGCGGACGCGGCTCGCAGGGCGTAGGCTGCCCATGATACCGCCTCGATCATCCCTTCCCTCTCACAGCCCCGTGCGACCGGGATGCAGTTCACCGACGCACAGTGGCAGACGCTCGACTCGGTGGACTGGACAGAGTACTTCTCGCCCGAGCGTATCCATACACGCCCTCTCCGACGTGTCCCGGAGAGGGTCCGCGGAGGATATCTTGACGTCCTCAGTGCGATCCTAGTCCGCATTGCCCAGGACCCGGAGGCTGCTGGCCCTACCTTCCTCCTCGCTGCAGCGCTGACTCTTTTCCTTGTTCCAGCGACGCCACCCGACCGCTCGCACACGGCTGCCATTGCAGCGCGCATCTCCCTCTTTGGTCGAGGTGAGTGGGCTGAGCTAGTCTCAGATGCACTAGGCCGTCGCACACCCCTTCTTCGGCGCACAGGTCACCGGTCACGCACCGCCACCGATCCCTCTACAGCAGATGAGCGCCGCATTGCACGTTGCCTTCGTCTGGCAGCGTGCAATGAGACCTCACGGGCGTGCGCGGCTCTCGAGTCCGCGGAGGCAGCCCCAGATACACAGGGGACGATACAGCGCCTGCAGTCGAAGCACCCCAACGCGGAGAGGCCGACCCCAGCTTGGCTGTCTGGCTTCCAGGGGTCCCCTCTTGTGCTCTCGGTGGATCACTTACGCCGCGCGATTTTCACAGCTCCGCGGGGCTCTTCGGGAGGACCGTCCGGTTGGGTCGCTGAGCACCTGCGAGACACTTTCTTAGCTTTCCCTCAGAGTCTCCATTTCCTCCTGGCCGTGTACCAGCAGTGGCTCCGAGGCCGTTGCGCTCCAGCTGCGCGCTCCTTGCTAGCGTCTTCCACCCTCGTGGCTCTGGCGAAGTCGAACATGGATGTTCGGCCGATTGCCATCGGCGAGGTTTTGGTCCGCATTCTTTCTCGTGCAGTCTGTCTCCAGCTACGTGACCAGATGGCGAGGGTCTTCTTGGCGTCACAGCAGTTTGGGGTGGGGGTTATGTGCGGGACAGAGGTCGTAGTTAGAGGCGTCCGCCGCGCCCTGGCTGACCACCCAGACTGGGTGGTCCTGCAGCTAGACGTGGCGAATGCCTTTAACTCTTTCCACCGAGACAGGATGTTCCAGGCGCTGCAGGCCAGCCCGGAGTTTCAGTGTCTGATCCCCTTCATCGGCCTCTTCTACGGGACGCCCTCGGATCTCCACTACAGGTCAGGCACGGGAGTGGTCACGATGCACTCGGAGCGGGGCACTCGCAAGGGAGACCCTCTCAGCCCCTTCTTGTACGCTCTGACACAGCGTCTTGCTTTGGAGCCGGTTCTGGCGGAGGGGGATGTCCAGCTCTGGTCGTACGCTGATGACACGTACGTGCTAGGTCCCCCAGACAGGGTGCTGCACCACTTTGCCGAGATCGTGAGGCGCTTGGGTGAGATGGGCCTTGCAGCCCAGCCGCACAAGTGCCTCGTCTACCAGACGGAGTCCTTTCTGTCCAGGGATCTGGAGGCTTTCACGGGCCTAGGGATCGAGGTCGCACGCCGAGGGCTCACCGTGACAGGCGTACCGGTAGGCACCGTTTTGTTCGTGGAGCAGAGTCTCCCGGATCGTCTCGAGAGGATGGGGCGGGTGCTACCTTGGCTTCCAAGGTTGCGCCAGCCCCAGACAGCTGCCCGCCTCCTTTCGGCGTGTGTCAGCACTCGTCCGCAGTACCTGTCGAGGACCGTCCCTCCTTCGCCCGCAGTGATCTCCAGTTTTACACGGTGGGACGCACGCCTGGGAGAGACATTTCAGCAGCTTTTAGCTTCAGGGACCTGGGCTTGTCGCGAGGACATCCGAGAGGCCGCCCTAGACCAGATCTTCCTCCCCATCCGTCTCGGGGGTTTCGGCATTCGTCGCATGGCGCGCATTGCCCCGGTGAGTTTCGTGTGCTCTTGGGTGCAGTGTGCACCCATTCTCTGTTCTCTCCCTGCGTGTGGCGAGGTGTTTCGGCAGAGCTTCGCTTCAGGTGAGCCAGAGCAGATCGACCGGGCTCTGCAGACGGCGCTAGAGGGTCTCCCACCTGACGTTCTCTCTCTCCTTCCCCCCTGGCCCTCTTGCGCTTCTGCCTCCCCGGATTCCCTTTTTGCAAGAGCGAGCCGTCTTCTGGAGGCGCATGCCTTGGAGGCCGTGCGTGCCCGTCACGCCTCTCCCTTGCACCTTGCCCGTTTGACTTCCCTTCAGGGCGGAGGTGCAGGGGCGTGGTTGACGTCCGTGCCGTACGCCGACCCACTGCGCATCCCGGAGGCGCTGTGGCAGGCGGCTTCATCTTCTCGTCTTGGTCTCCCTATCCCCCAGTTAGCCCTTGCAGGTCAGTGCTCCTGCGGACAGGCGATTGACGACATGACGGTGCCTCATCACGCGGTTCGGTGCCCGCGCTACGGGGTCGCCACTACCATCCACGACACGGTGAAGTACATGCTTCGAGACTTTGCGGTCGAGGCGGGCTTCGCGGTAAAGGTGGAGGACTCTACGCTGTTCACACAGTTGGAGGCGGCTCGAGCGAGACTACTGGGACAGCCAGTGGTGGGAGAGGGGACACGGGCTGAGGGACCGGGGGAGCGGAGAGGCGAGGCGGGACAGCCGGGTGGCGGGGGACAGTGGGGACGGCACCAGCTGCGGGGTCAGGTGGAGCGAGGGACAGGTGGGCAGAGGGGACGGCAGGGGGAGCAGACGGGCCAGGACGGGGAGGGGGGACGGCACAGGCAGCAGCAGGAGAGCCAGTGGAGGCCGCGGGCCCAGGGCGCCACGCCTCCAGGTTCGGCCTCGGGGGCGGGGCAGGGGCGGGAGCAGCAGAGAGCGGACGGAGGTACAGGAGGAGCAGCGGGATTGGGAGGGGAGGGCCAGGGAGTGAGAGAGGCAGCAGGGGATGGAGCAGGGGGGTCGGGAGGTTTGGGGGAGGGTAGAGAGGGGGAGGGGAGAGGACAGGTGGATGGAGGAGAGGAGAGGGGGAGAGAGACGATCGGAGAGGGGGCACCAAGGGACCAGACAGGGCAGCAGCCAGCGCAACAGCAGGGACCAGTCGGACGCACAGGCCGTGTAGGCACCGCCTCCCGCATTCCAGATCTCACCTGCCGCGACGTTGGCCAGGGTCTGATGGTTCTTGTGGATGTCTCCATAGCGGATCCACAGCGGGAGGGGAACGTGCAGCTGAGACGGGCGACCCCCACACAGATTGGAGTGGCAGCAGCTAGGCGGGTGCAAGAGAAGCTACGTCACTGGGGGCCGCACTTAGAGGGGCTGCAGCCGGCACCACACTTTTACGCGTGCGTGGCGGAGACCTTTGGCCTTCTGAGTGAGCCGATGCGTCAGTTTCTGGGGCTCTGCGCAAAGAGGATAGCACAGCGGAGGAGGGATAGAGGTGGGGGGGATGACGGATCGGCACGGATATTTGAGGCAGGACTCACTACACGCCTCTCCGTTGCACTGCAGCGCGCGCAGGCTCAATGCATGATCCAGCATGCGGTGCGGCAGTTAGGGAGGTCCGACGACGGGTGGATGCCCGCACCAGTCCCACTGGGTGCGGGGCAGGGAACTTGGCACCACGTCACAGGGTGCTTCGAGAGTGTGGCTGATATGCAGTATATATATGATGCATATGTGTAAAAAACAATAGTGGCTGTGCTTGAAACGCTGTGCCCGTGCGGTCGTGCGGGTTGCTGCCGTGTTTGGTCCTTTGGTGCTTCCTCCTCCTTAGTCTCTCTCCCTCTCTCCTCTTCTCTTCCCACCTCCCTCTTTCTGTTCCCTTCTTCTATCCTTCCCTTCTCTTCCTACCACCCTCTTCCTTTCCCTACCACTTCTTCTTACTCCTTCATCTTTCCTTCCTTTCCTTTCTTTCCCCCTTTTCCTACAAAATATATATACCGTCCTCATAGCAATTAGGCTATGTCGAAATTTCCTAGTCTTGGAAAAACCATTATATTCAGCTTGTATTTGCTCTTCCCTTATTAATGAATAACTGCTCTCGCCCACCGGCGCTTAGCTTCGGAGTTCTGATGGGATCCGGCGTAGTAGCCGAGGTATGATCGTACCACGTCAACCCCGTGCCCCGACCGGTACACACCCCTTGCCCGGGTCCCCCCTTCATAGTCACACCCCCTGCCCCCTCATGCCATCCGCTCCCCCCGCCCCTACCCTCCGCGTGCCCGCTCCCTTGCCGCCTCTTTTGACCCTCCCTGCCCCCCTCGCCGTTTCCCACCGCCCGCCATTCGCTCCTCCCCGCCCGTGCGCTCCCCTTGTTTACCTTCTCCTCCCCCCTCCCCTCCTCTGCTGCACGCCTCTTCCTTCCCCTCGCCGACCCACTCCACTCCCTGCCCATCCTCAATCCGCACCCTGCCCCTCGTATCTCGCCCCCCTATGCTTGGTTTCTCCCCTCCCTGCCCCTCGCCGCCTTTCTCCGTGTCAACGGGAGTTGTATGTTGGCCCCGTCCACGCCTGGGCGGAGCCGACTTCGTGGTCGGGTGTAGGGTGCAGCCGACCTGCAGCAGTGGGCGAGTTGGTCGACGAGGTTAGTCGACCTGCACGGGGAGCCACTGCATGGGCGCCGACTTCAGGAGGGCGCCAACTTCGTCTGGTCGACCCGGGACGCCGACCAGACCTTCTGGTCGACCTGGGACGTCGACCAGGGAGTAGTGGTCGACCTGAGGAGGTCGACTTGGGGTGGTCGTCGACTTGGGAGGTCGACGGGCACGTGCAAGAGCTGCTGGTCGACGTGGTTGCCCGGTCGACCAGGTTACTTGGGTGACGAAGTGCTGCGGAGAAGTGCGACGGTCGCCCAGGCAAAGGTGGCGAGGACGACCACGGTGGTGGTATCCCGAGGTCGTCGTGGCGGACCAGAGGTAGTCGTCAGCTCGAGGTTGACGTGGAGTGTGCGCTGTGCAGGTGACGGGACTCTGCACGCCAATCAGCTACGCACACCTGCGAGGCGGGTGCACTGCTGTCCTGCGTGAGCAACGCTGGCACGCCGTCAACCTGCGACGTTGGCACGCCGTCGACCTTGCCTTGCTGGAGTGCGGTCGACCAAGTCGTGCTGGAACGCGGTCGACCAAGCTGCGCTGGCAGTTGGCCGACCTGAATGCTTGCTCTGACGTAGTCATGCTATGCCAACTTCATTGTACCAATTGTTCTGAACTTTTCCTAGTGAAACTCTTGCCAACTTTCCACGTGAACTAGCAAGTAGTGTGTGCACAAGGAAAACGACTAAGGAACAGAGAACGCATAGATCACACGAGCACACGTGCCTAGCCCGTAGCCTAGCTCCCGTTGTTGTAGTTATCTCCGCATGGTGCGGTGAGCGTGGACGGCACACGACTTACCTTTCAGTCAAGTCGACGTAGATACCACTTACCTATTGTGTAGTTACAGGCCGGCGACTGTGCAGTAGTCACTATGGTAGGAGCCGTAGGTGACGCGGGGGTGGTGGACACCCTGGAGGCACGGTTGGAGAACGCGAGGAGGAAGCATGAGGCCAACGAGTATGGCGACTTGCCCTGGGCGGTCGTCGAGGCTGGACTCCGCTCAACGTGGGCGACGGAGCACCCGTCTCGACCCGCCTCTCCTCGTCCTGTGAACAACGAAGGCGGCGTCGACGTAGGCGTCAACGCCGGTGGCGGTCAAGTCGGCAGCAGTGCTGGAGGCACGTCGAGGCAAAGAGGTGTGATACACGCCGGTGAAGTCGGCGGCGTTCAGACGCGAGGGATGCAGTCTTCGGCGGCTGCAGGCTCCTCGCATGGCGACGCAGGTGGGCGTCGAAGTGGACTGTCGCCGATGTCGGCGACCCAGGTGACGGCGGGCGGAATTGCGCCGAGCTACGGCTACTTCAAGTTTACGCCGGACAGGATCTCGGTCACCCCTCCGCTGGTCGGTCGACCCGACATTCTCACCTGGAAGGAAGCCATCGAGCCCCAGCTGGAGATGGCCGGGCTGATCGGCTTCGCCCGAGGAACCGTGGCGACGCCGGGGGAGCACCACCCCGACCTGCGTGCGGAGTTTCGCGCCGTACAGCTGTTGACCTTCACGGTCATCTCGCGGTGCTGCTCGCCGGGCGTGCAGATCGCGTTGAAGTGGTGCCGGGAATACATCGACGCTGGCCACCGGGCGTGGCACTTCATCGAGTCGACATACCAGGTCACCGACGACCTGTTCATCGCCCAGCTGGAGGGACAACTGACGCACCTGCGTATGGGTGACGAGGAGAGTGCGACCGACTACTGCAACCGAGCCAGGCGAATTCTCGCCACCATCAGGATGGCCGGAGCGCAGTACTCCACGGCGTCGTATATCACCCATGTCATGCAGGGTCTCTCTAGCAGCTACAACCTGCTGAAACGGCTGTCTATGGCGCCGAGCACAAGGGCGACGCTCAACGAGGACAACTTGACCTCGTATATCCTGCAGGACGAGGCGATGCAGGAGGCTGAGCGGTCGCAGGAGCTCTTGGCACAGGCCAACTTGGTCACCTCAGCGAAGCAAGGAGGTCGACCGGGGCAGCGCGGGCAATCCGGCGGTGGCGGTAGCAGTGGCTGGAAACCGGCCAAGGAGGTCGACAAGAGGAAGTCGACCAAGGACAGCGGTCGTGGAGGAGGAGGTCGACGTCGGGAGTGCTGGCTGTGCGGCGATCCCGATCATCTCTCCTTCGAGTGTCCCAACCGCAGCGACTCCGACAACGACGATGCTAAGGGAGGCCGTGGGAGGTCTGGCAGCCGTCGTCCTCATCGTGGAGGCAACCAACCGCGCAAGGAGAAGCAGTCGACCAAGACATCGACCTCGGCGAAGGACGCCGACTCCGTTGCAGGCGGCAAGGGGCGAGACGACAAAACGGCGTCGTGCTCGCTGGTCGGCGTCGTGGAGCCGACCATCTCTCTGGCGCCGGAGGCCGGAGAGGACTTCCAAGCGGTGGCGGCAGCTGTGCAGGCGAACCCGACGGTGGTCCTGCTCGACAGTGGTTGCTCCCACCACCTGATGGGGACGAAGGAAGCCTTCGTCGACTTGCAGCCGAGTGGAGCCATCAGGCATGTGCGCGGCTTCAATGGGGCGCTGCAGGATGTCCAGGGCTGCGGCACCATCGCCCTGCAAGGAGAGGCCGGGAAGGAGGTGCTCATCCCCGACGTGTTGTACGTCCCGGGTGTGCGAGCCAACCTGCTGTCGGCCGGCCAGCTGAAGGAGCATGGTGTGAAGCTGCAGGAGGACGGAGACGGCATGCTGCTCGTCTCGGCAGCAGGGGAGGTGCTCGGGCGAGCGACGTACTCTGGGCGAGTCCTCTGCACCGACCTGCGTCCCTGCGCGACGAGGTCGACGCCGCCCATGACGGAGGTGGTGGCTCTGCGGGCGATCGTCCCGAAGGCGAAGTCGACGCCGGACCGGATGCATGCGAGGCTTGCGCACGTCGGCATGGACACCATACGGAGCTCGGCGAAGAACGAGGTCGCCATTGGGCTGGACCTCAAGTCGGCGACGGACGCCGACTCCCCGTGTGTCTCGTGCGTTGGTGGGAAACTGGCGCGGCACACCTTCCCCGACCAAGGCTCCGACGCCGACGACGTGCTGGCCGTCGTGCACATCGACCTGTGCGGGCCGTTTCGTGTGGCTGCCAAGGACGGCAGCCTGTACTTCTTGCTGCTGAAGGACCGCAAGACCCGCTACGTGTGGGTGAAGCTGGTCGCCAAGAAGTCCGATGCGTTGCAGGCGTTCGTACAGTGGCTGGCGGTGGCTGAGCGGCAGACGAAGAAGTCGGTGTTGATGCTGCGCTCAGACCGGGGAGGGGAGTTCCTCGGGAAGCAGTTCACCGACTTCGTGAACGACAAGGGGATCGTCCACGACCTGACCTGCCCATATACCCCGCAGCAAAACGGCATGGCAGAGCGGGAGATGAGGACGGTGGTAGAGTCGGTGCGGACAATGCTGCTGCACATGGGCGTGCAGCACCACTGGTGGCACCTCGCTCTGCGGCAGGCCGTCTGGGTCCGCAACTGCCTGGAGAGGTTGAAGCTGCCGCCGGGGACGACGCCGTACCAGCTGCTAACAGGGAAGAAGCCCGACTTGTCGCTGGCGCGGGTGTGGGGCTGCATGGCGCAGTTTCTTGTCCCTGAGCCGCAGCGTGGTGGGAAGCTGAAGCCGAAGGCCAGGTGGGGCCTGCACCTTGGCGTGTCGGCGGCGAGCAAGGGCTGGGAGCTCCTCGACGTCGACACCGACCGAGTGATCACCACGTCGGACGTGGTGTTCTACGAGGAAATGTCGCTGGCCGAGTGGAAGACTGAGCATGGACCGGTACCCGGCCGCTCGCCGTCCACCTTGCCCTCTGACACCTCGTCGGCGACGCTGCCGCTGCTTGCCGAGGTCGGTGAGCTTGCTACTGAGGACGTCGAGGACGTCCGCTCCTCTACCCCTCTCCCTCTGACTCCTGCCCCTCCCCTCGTGGCCGACCTTCGTGGGCTGACCTCGGTGTCGGCCTTCGGCGATGAGGGGAGTAGTGGGACGCCGCCTTCGGCGCCGGCCAAGTGCATCGCCGGCGGCCGACTTGACGAGCGGCGAATCGACGTGGGATTGCAGTCGACAAGGGAGCAGCAGCCGACAAGGGAGCAGGCTGCCGTGAAGCCGACCACGGAGCAGTCGGCGACCGGGACGTCGGCAGGGGAGCCGACCACAGGGGAGAAGTCGGCTGGGAAGCGACCACAGTGGAGCAGTCGGCTGGGACGCCGGCTGAGGAGCAGCAGGACGCCGAGGGCAGCGACGACAGTGACGATGGAGGGGACGCCGCGGCGGTCCAGCAGGGACCACGGCGTTCCGGCCGACTTCGAAGGCCGCCTGACTTCTTCGTCCCCGCTGCCTTCACCACGGTGTATGACGTGGACGATGACGACGACCTGCTGTACGACGACGCCGAGGAGGATGAGGAGTTTCCGGAGCTCGACCCCGACATGCTAGCCGACCCCGAGCACCGTTGGGACATCTCGACGATGACGGTGAAGGAGGCGTTGGTGAGCTGGAAGGGCCCGGCGGTGAAGGCCGCCATGGAGGAGGAGATCCGCAGCCTCATCAACATGGGCACTTGGGAGCTGGTCGAACGCCCGCCGGGGGTAAACGTCATGAAGAACCGGTGGGTGTTGACGACGTAGTACCACATTGACGACACCGTCGAACGAGAAAAGGCGAGGCTGGTCGTAAAGGGCTTCACACAGGTGTATGGCGCCGACTACGACGAGACGTTCGCGCCGGTGAGCAGCTAAGTGACGCTGAGGATTTTCCTCAGCATTGTCGCTGTCCTCGACCTCAACCTGATGCAGCTCGACATGAAGAATGCCTTCCTGCAGAGCAAGCTCGATCGGGTACTGTACATGCCTTTCTGCCCACGGCTTTTCTATTCGAAGCGATTAGCTACTACCGATTTTCTTCCCACGGTTTCCCTCTCTCGAAGTCACTGAGCTTAGCTTCCGCCCGTAGTTAGCATTCTTCCTTCCCTTTCAGTGCGCCCTTCTTTATCGAAACCCTAATTCGAAGAGCCGCGCGTTTTCAAGCACGCTTTCTCGTCGCCTGTCATGTTTAGTCACGCACTCATTTTCCCCGCCCGTTCAATCTAGCCGCGGCGTAGACAGAACCGCGCACGGGGCGCTTACCGCCAGGGAAAGGCAGCGCGGAGGGAGGCGAAATTGCTACGTTCGTAGCGATCAAGCAGCCCTCCCCTTGCGCGCCTCCCGAAGCGCGTTTTCTGCCTAGAGCGTTTTAGCCGCCCACGTTGGGCACACAGGCTGCCCCACTCCCCCTTTGCTCACTCCCACCCTGCCATGCCTCGTCGCACACTCGTGCATGCCACCCACACGTCGTAATCTTACCCCGTCGCCACCCACATATTCACCTTCCTGCTCACACCGCCCCTTTCCCCCTCACACGCGCGCTTTAGCCACCCCGCCACCTAACCTCTTTCCCTAACGGCGCTTAGCTAGCAGAGGCCGCCCTGTCTCTGGAAACCGTAGGAAATAAGGGGAAACAACTTCAAAGAAAAAAAAATATTCATATAAATCGGAAAAAAAAACCAGAAAAAAAATCAGAAAGGCAGCTTACACTTTGTTCTCCCAACCCTCCAGGGCCCCATCCAGTCCGCCACCCCCCCATTCTGTTTCATCATACTGCACCACACCCTCCCCTTTCGCCCACCAGCATTACCGCCCCTTTCCCCTTATCCCCCACCACGCCACCAAGCAGGCTTTTCTCCCCCCAGCCTCCCGTCTCCCTGCCCTTAGTACCGCCGCGCCCTGCCCGTGCGTCACCCTTGCCCACTTCATACCACCTCCCCCTTCTCCCCCCCCCCCCCCGGCTTCTCCCTATCATCACCCGCATGTTCCCCCACTCCCCTGTCCACAACGTCCCTCCTCCACCCCCCCTCCTGCCTTCCCCACTCCCACTCTGCCCCCCACACCTCTACGAGCCGTACTTCCCCCTCCAGCCTCCCTTTCCCCCCCAGCTACTTCCGCATCCAGCGTGGGCTGCACCTCTGCATCCCGCCCTGCCAGGCCCTTCGGTGACCCAACTGCCGCCACCTGGCACCACGCCGCCTTTCCCACCCCCATCCAATCTCTACACCCCCTGCCCCTGCTCCCTGCGCAATCCAGCCACCTACCCCAGCCTCCCTCTACCTCTCCCTAACTCCACACCGCCGTTCCTACCCCCAGCCAAGGTCTACACCCCTTGCTTTTGCTCCCTGGGCTGTGCCGTCCCCAACCTCCCTCCGCCTTTCCGCGGCACCAGACCGCCTCTCCCTCCCCCAGCCAACCTTTGCACCCCCTGTTCCTGCCCCTTGTGCCCTCCAACACCCTACCTCCCCCAGTCTCCCCCTTCTCCAACACCCTCCATATTTCCTCCCCCCTGGGGCTCGCCCATCCGCAGTTATCACCCTTCATCGTTTCCCCAATTCCCTCTGTCCCCTGTTTCCCGGCCCCGCATCCTATTCTGCATTTACCACAGCGCCTCCTTTCGGTGCCCTCTCTGCCCTCCCACGTTCTCACCCCCCGCCTCCCAACCTTCTCATTACCCGCTACCAGGCTCACGCCAACTCGACTACCCACTACCCTTTGCCCCTTCCTCTCTGTTCCCCACCCTTCCTTTCCCACTTGGCTCCACCTGCCCACCCCCACCTCCCGTGGAATTCTGCCCTGCCCTCCCCACCTCCGGCCCACCACCTGTCCCCACACCCTGCTCACCCACCGCTACATCACCCCCGCCCCCCCACCTCCACTACAGCCCGCCAACACTTCCCCTCTCAACCGGCCCCCAGCCCGCCCCCCCCTTGGGCCCCAATCCCCTCCAACTGTCAGGCCCCCTCTACCCTCTCTTCCACCCACTGCGCACCGCTTTCCCCACCCTTTTCCCCTTTCCCCAAGCTAACCCCCCGCACCCCGGCCTCTGCCAGGGAGTTCCTTCCCCCTTTGACGCCCTCTTGAGCCAACTCCAGCAACTCACACAGCCACCGCCAGGCATGCTGCCTCTGTAACAATGCCCCAACACCCCGCGAGTGGGGGAAAGGCAGACCCGGGAGCCCCTCGGCGATCTGGGAGGTCCCGCAGCCGAGCCACCCCCTACTCTCCCACTCCCCCCACTTCAACAGTCAGGAAGAAACAACATACACCTGACCAAGCGAAAACACTCACACAATCTGACCCTAGGGGCCAGAAGCGTACCTTTGAAGAGGATGGAACAGAGGAACGCCAAGCCCCACTGGAGGAAATACACGAGGAGGAGCCAGCACGCTCAAAACCGCGCCCTACCCCCGCTGCCCCATCCCAGCCTACCCCCCCTTCAGGTGACAGCGGGGGCGGCACCCATGCATGCTCAGTAGAGAGATCCTCCAACTCACTCGCTACCTCCCATTCGCAAACCAGATTACTTGTGAAAACACTTAATCCTACCCGCACCCCCAAGCACATAGAAGCGGGAGAGGGCAGAGCCAGGGGGGAACTTGCAGCTGACACTGCACGGGAAGGGGTAAGTGAGTTTGTGTGTGAAGGAGCAGCAGAGGCTGCAGAGGATGGGGCAGCAAAGGCTGCACGGGAAGGGGCAATGGGGGTTGTGGGGGAAGGGGCAGCAGAGGCTGCAGAGGAAAGGGCAGCAGAGGCTGCAAGGGAAGGGGCAGCAGCGGCTGCACGGGAAAGGGCGGCAGGGGCTGCACGGGAAGGGGCGGCAGGGACCGTGACTCTGGCCAGGCAAAGGGCAGAGGCCATGGAGACAGGTTTTGCAGGAGTAGGGGCCACGGAACCTGCTGCTGTGTCGGCTGGGGGAACCGCAGCAGAGGAGGCTATAGGGACCGCACCAGGTGAGGCCGCACAGACCACAGCAGGTGTGGCTGCAGGGATCACAATGGGTGAGGCTGCAGGAGGGACCATGGCAGGTGAGGCCGCAGGGAGCGCAGTAGGTGAGGCTGCAGGGAGCGCAGCAGGTGAGGCTGTAGGGGGCGCAGCAGGTGAGGCTGCAGAGAGCGCAGCAGGTGAGGCCGCAGGGAGCGCAGCAGGCGGGACTGCAGGGGCCGCAGCAGGTGAGACTGCGGCGGACGCAGCAGGTGAGGCTGCGAGGGCTGCATCATGTAAGGTTGGGCAGACTCTAGCAGGTGAGGCTGCACAGTCTACAGCTGGTGAGGTCGCAGGGACTGCAACAGGTGAGGCCGCAGGGACTGCAGCAGGTGAGGCGGCAGAGACCACAGCGGATGAGGCTGCAGGCGGGACCATGGCAGGTGAGGCCGCAGGGAGCGCAGCAGGTGAGGCTGAAATAGCCGCAGCAGGTGAGGCTGCAGAGGCCGCAGCATGTGAGGTTGAGCAGATTCTAGCAGGTGAGGCTGCACAAACTGCAGCAGGTGAGGCCGCAGGGACTGCAGCGGGTGAGGCTGCAAGGACTGCAGCACGTGAGCCTGCAGGGACCGCGGCAGGCAAGGCTGCAGGGATCGCGGCTGGTGAGGCTGAGCAGATTACGGTAGGCGAGGTTTTACAGACTGCAGCAGTCGAGGCTGCAAGGACTGCAGCAGGAGCAACAGAGGCCACAGTGGGGGCTGGTATAGGGGGAGGTGCTACGGGTGCAGCGGGGAAGGGGGTAACGGGGACTGGTGCGAGGGAGAGTGCCGCCCCGGCTGTAGCAAGAGAGGGTACGGCAGGGGCTAGAGTGGGAGAGGGGACAGCAGTGGCCTCAAAGGCAGAAGGTGAGGCTGCAGCTGAAGCAGCAGGGAGGGCCATAGCACGGCCAGTAGGGGCGGCAGGGGCCGCAGCAAACGCGGGGAAACACACAGCAGGGCCGGCAGGGCCGGCAGAGACTGCAAAAGGGGCTAGCAGTAAAGCGGCAGCAGGCGGGGTGGGCTCGGGGGACATAGGGGCAACAGGGGAAGGAGAGGTGAGTGTGGTCCCGACCGGGGTGGGCACTGAAGAGGGGGATGTGATAGCGATAGAGGAGGATGAGGGAGAGGATGTGATGCACATTGACGGGCCACTGGCCCAATACCTCACGCTTGACGGTGAGGCCGACCCGGCCCCCCTGCAGCCTCACGTCGAGATTCCCCCTCTACCCCCCATGCCCGTCCCCATGCTAGCAGAAGGACCGATGGAGGGGCTGGGGGAGACCTTGAGGACAGAGCCGCGCGAGGGAGCCCCCATCCTCACCTCCCGTCCTCCAGCCCACCCACCCCCAGGAGCACCACTTCCCCACCCCCACCCTCAGGTCCCAGTAGTGTCCAGGGGGGCAGCCAAGGCCCTGGCCTTCTTGGCGGAGCCATGCTCCCCGACCCCCACGCTGCTCCATGGCCAGCTCCCCTCTCCGTCCCCAACGCCTGACCCCACGGTTGCAGGCGGTCCACCGGGAGAGCACGTGGGTGCGACAAGAGCAGAGCCACCCGAGGGCACCCCTTCTCTCACCCCTCACCCCTCCCCGCCCCTTCCCTCACTCCTTCCTTCACCCCCAAGGGCAGCACACCTCTGCCCCCACCCTCAGGGGCTCCTTAGAGCACCACGTGGAGCAGCCAGGGCTCTGGTCTTCCTAGAGGAGCCATGCTCCCCGACTCCTACCAACACCCAGCCACCCCCTACCGGCCCACTACCCCCTCCTCCACCAGGCCCCCCCCCACCCGGTAGTACACACATCTCGGAGGTTGAAGCATCTCTGCGGCCAAATCCCTCTCCCACACGCTACAGGCACCCAAACCACCCGAGTCGCCGCACAGCCCCAACACGCCCACCCAACAGGCTGCCCTCCCCACACCACCCCCCCCAGGCAGCCGAGACCCACCCGCAAGGGCTTGCGCCCCAGGCTCATGGGAGCGGCGGCACCCGGGTAGAGGGGCCCACAGGAGAGGCCACCACAGGGCCCACACAAATCTCTCTCCCCCCACCGTTTGTACCTCGCTCTAACCTCCACACTGGCCCGACCCCTCGACCCCCACCTCCAACCCCCTCTCCCGGCCGGGTTCCCCACGAGTGGCCCCGTTGGGCAGCCATCACCCCCCACACACAGCTTGCCCGATCTGTTCCCACGGAGGGGGATGTTTCGAGGAGAGAGGGGATGCAAACAGAGCACCCCCCGCCTGGCGAACCACCCATCCTCCCTCCACCCACCCCTTTGGCCCCACAGCCCCCCCTTCCTTCACAAACAGGCGCGGACAACCAGGTTGGCCGCCGGCGGAAGAACAGGGGCAGAGGGTCAGCCCACGTACTCCCCCCTCCCTCCCTCCCCCACCAAGAGCCCCTCCCTACCTCACATCCCGTTGAACCCTTACCAGGCCCTACCTCTACAGCCCGACCACCAAACCTACACTCCCGCCCCGCTCCTGCACCTCCACAGGGCCATGGGAGCGGTCCAGCCCACTCACCCCCATTCTGCCCCTCCCGTGCTGTGTCCCCCTCCCAGGTGGCGGCGGCCGCGATCGCTACTGGGAGGGAGGCCGTCGGGTTGAGGGATGCGCCCATGGCAGACGCCACCGACTCCCCCTCCCATCCCTCCCACCCCTTCCATGTCGACGACCCCCTACCGCAACCCATGGTGATTGGGGAGGGCCAAGGGGGCCTTCTAGGGCAGGGTCCACACCCGAGCTCCGCTCAGCCAGCACGCCCCACTCCACCCTCTACCCTGCCAGCCCTCCTACTCTCACCTACAGGCAGGCAGGTCTTCGAGACCCCAGAGGAGGTGAGGGCTGGCATTTCAGATTTGCTGGCGATACACCGCCTGAGCAGCTCTCCGGCTGCCCCCACCCTTCCAGTCCCACAGGACCGGACCCGGACGTATGCGGAGGTCACCCGGTCTGTCCCTTCTTTTATCCCCCCCGCCACTCAGCTAGGCGCGTCACTCCCGACCCCAATGGAGACGGACCGGGTTCTGAGGCCGTGTCACTCGCACCTAGACGGGGTGGCGCCTCCCCCCGTTCAGCCCGTGGCGCAGGAGGTCACCAGCAGTAGGGATGAGGCATCCGCCCCTACCGAGACCCCTCCGCCTGGGGTAGCAGAGCCGTCACTTGAACCGCACCCCGCCGAGGGGCAGGAGCACACCACGGCACACACTTCAGGCTCACCTCCACGTCCCCCCTCCCCAGCTTCGACACCGGTACCGGCACGAGGCCCGGCCCTATCCTGTGCGACACCACCTCTATCTTCGCTGACACCCCCCCCGCGCGGGGCTGGTGAGCCGTCTCCTCCCCTCATCCCAGGCGATCCTCTCGGAGCTCAGGCCGCCCACGGGGTCCCCTCTACAGCCAGTTCCGACGCCACGGCCCCGATTGACCCCGCCGACACGGCGACATCACCCGACCAGGTCGTGAGTTGCCCCACCTGCAGGAGCTCTCTCGCGAACCGACGCGCGCTCCAGCACCACATTCCCTTCTGCCATCCTGCGGACGCGGCTCGCAGGGCGCAGGCTGCCCATGATACCGCCTCGATCATCCCTTCCCTCTCACAGCCCCGTGCGACCGGGATGCAGTTCACCGACGCACAGTGGCAGACACTCGACTCGGTGGACTGGACAGAGTACTTCTCGCCCGAGCGTATCCATACACGCCCTCTCCGACGTGTCCCGGAGAGGGTCCGCGGAGGATATCTTGACGTCCTCAGTGCGATCCTAGTCCGCATTGCCCAGGACCCGGAGGCTGCTGGCCCTACCTTCCTCCTCGCTGCAGCGCCGACTCTTTTCCTTGTTCCAGCGACGCCACCCGACCGCTCGCACACGGCTGCCATTGCAGCGCGCATCTCCCGCTTTGGTCGAGGTGAGTGGGCTGAGCTAGTCTCAGATGCACTAGGCCGTCGCACACCCCTTCCTCGGCGCACAGGTCACCGGTCACGCACCGCCACCGATCCCTCTACAGCAGATGAGCGCCGCATTGTACGTTGCCTTCGTCTGGCAGCGTGCAATGAGACCTCACGGGCGTGCGCGGCTCTCGAGTCCGCGGAGGCAGCCCCAGATACACAGGGGACGATACAGCGCCTGCAGTCGAAGCACCCCAACGCGGAGAGGCCGACCCCAGCTTGGCTGTCTGGCTTCCAGGGGTCCCCTCTTGTGCTCTCGGTGGATCACTTACGCCGCGCGATTTTCACAGCTCCGCGGGGCTCTTCGGGAGGACCGTCCGGTTGGGTCGCTGAGCACCTGCGAGACACTTTCTTAGCTTTCCCTCAGAGTCTCCATTTCCTCCTGGCCGTGTACCAGCAGTGGCTCCGAGGCCGTTGCGCTCCAGCTGCACGCTCCTTGCTAGCGTCTTCCACCCTCGTGGCTCTGGCGAAGTCGAACATGGATGTTCGGCCGATTGCCATCGGCGAGGTTTTGGTCCGCATTCTTTCTCGTGCAGTCTGTCTCCAGCTACGTGACCAGATGGCGAGGGTCTTCTTGGCGTCACAGCAGTTTGGGGTGGGGGTTATGTGCGGGACAGAGGTCGTAGTTAGAGGCGTCCGCCGCGCCCTGGCTGACCACCCAGACTGGGTGGTCCTGCAGCTAGACGTGGCGAATGCCTTTAACTCTTTCCACCGAGACAGAATGTTCCAGGCGCTGCAGGCCAGCCCGGAGTTTCAGTGTCTGATCCCCTTCATCGGCCTCTTCTACGGGACGCCCTCGGATCTCCACTACAGGTCAGGCACGGGAGTGGTCACGATGCACTCGGAGCGGGGCACTCGCCAGGGAGACCCTCTCAGCCCCTTCTTGTACGCTCTGACACAGCGTCTTGCTTTGGAGCCGGTTCTGGCGGAGGGGGATGTCCAGCTCTGGTCGTACGCCGATGACACGTACGTGCTAGGTCCCCCAGCCAGGGTGCTGCACCACTTTGCCGAGATCGTGAGGCGCTTGGGCGAGATGGGCCTTGCAGCCCAGCCGCACAAGTGCCTCGTCTACCAGACGGAGTCCTTTCTGTCCAGGGATCTGGAGGCTTTCACGGGCCTAGGGATCGAGGTCGCACGCCGAGGGCTCACCGTGACAGGCGTACCGGTAGGCACCGTTTCGTTCGTGGAGCAGAGTCTCCCGGATCGTCTCGAGAGGATGGGGCGGGTGCTACCTTGGCTTCCGAGGTTGCGCCAGCCCCAGACAGCTGCCCGCCTCCTTTCGGCGTGTGTCAGCACTCGTCCGCAGTACCTGTCGAGGACCGTCCCTCCTTCGCCCGCAGTGATCTCCAGTTTTACACGGTGGGACGCACGCCTGGGAGAGACATTTCAGCAGCTTTTAGCTTCAGGGACCTGGGCTTGTCGCGAGGACGTCCGAGAGGCCGCCCTAGACCAGATCTTCCTCCCCATCCGTCTCGGGGGTTTCGGCATTCGTCGCATGGCGCGCATTGCCCCGGTGAGTTTCGTGTGCTCCTGGGTGCAGTGTGCACCCATTCTCTGTTCTCTCCCTGCGTGTGGCGAGGTGTTTTGGCAGAGCTTCGCTTCAGGTGAGCCAGAGCAGATCGACCGGGCTTTGCAGACGGCGCTAGAGGGTCTCCCACCTGACGTTCTCTCTCTCCTTCCCCCCTGGCCCTCTTGCGCTTCTGCCTCCCCCGATTCCCTTTTTGCAGGAGCGAGCCGTCTTCTGGAGGCGCATGCCTTGGAGGCCGTGCGTGCCCGTCACGCCTCTCCCTTGCACCTTGCCCGTTTGACTTCCCTTCAGGGCGGAGGTGCAGGGGCGTGGTTGACGTCGGTGCCGTACGCCGACCCACTGCGCATCCCGGAGGCGCTGTGGCAGGCGGCTTCATCTTCTCGTCTTGGTCTCCCTATCCCCCAGTTAGCCCTTGCAGGTCAGTGCTCCTGCGGACAGGCGATTGACGACATGACGGTGCCTCATCACGCGGTTCGGTGCCCGCGCTACGGGGTCGCCACTACCATCCACGACACGGTGAAGTACATGCTTCGAGACTTTGCGGTCGAGGCGGGCTTCGCGGTAAAGGTGGAGGACTCTACGCTGTTCACACAGTTGGAGGCGGCTCGAGCGAGACTACTGGGACAGCCAGTGGTGGGAGAGGGGACACGGGCTGAGGGACCGGGGGAGCGGAGAGGCGAGGCGGGACAGCCGGGTGGCGGGGGACAGTGGGGACGGCACCAGCTGCGGGGTCAGGTGGAGCGAGGGACAGGTGGGCAGAGGGGACGGCAGGGGGAGCAGACGGGCCAGGACGGGGAGGGGGGACGGCACAGGCAGCAGCAGGAGAGCCAGTGGAGGCCGCGAGCCCAGGGCGCCGCGCTTCCAGGTTCGGCCTCGGGGGCGGGGCAGGGGCGGGAGCAGCAGAGAGCGGACGGAGGTACAGGAGGGGCAGCGGGATTGGGAGGGGAGGGCCAGGGAGTGAGAGAGGCAGCAGGGGATGGAGCAGGGGGGTCGGGAGGTTTGGGGGAGGGTAGAGAGGGGGAGGGGAGAGGACAGGTGGATGGAGGAGAGGAGAGGGGGAGAGAGACGATCGGAGAGGGGGCACCAAGGGACCAGACAGGGCAGCAGCCAGCGCAACAGCAGGGACCAGTCGGACGCACAGGCCGTGTAGGCACCGCCTCCCGCATTCCAGATCTCACCTGCCGCGACGTTGGCCAGGGTCTGATGGTTCTTGTGGATGTCTCCATAGCGGATCCACAGCGGGAGGGGAACGTGCAGCTGAGACGGGCGACCCCCACACAGATTGGAGTGGCAGCAGCTAGGCGTGTGCAGGAGAAGCTGCGTCACTGGGGGCCGCACTTAGAGGGGCTGCAGCCGGCACCACACTTTTACGCGTGCGTGGCGGAGACCTTTGGCCTTCTGAGTGAGCCGATGCGTCAGTTTCTGGGGCTCTGCGCAAAGAGGATAGCACAGCGGAGGAGGGATAGAGGTGGGGGGGATGACGGATCGGCACGGATATTTGAGGCAGGACTCACTACACGCCTCTCCGTTGCATTGCAGCGCGCGCAGGCTCAATGCATGATCCAGCATGCGGTGCGGCAGTTAGGGAGATCCGACGACGGGTGGATGCCCGCACCAGTCCCACTGGGTGCGGGGCAGGGAACTTGGCACCACGTCACAGGGTGCTTCGAGAGTGTGGCTGATATGCAGTATATATATGATGCATATGTGTAAAAAACAATAGTGGCTGTGCTTGAAACGCTGTGCTCGTGCGGTCGTGCGGGTTGCTGCCGTGTTTGGTCCTTTAGTGCTTCCTCCTCCTTAGTCTCTCTCCCTCTCTCCTCTTCTCTTCCCACCTCCCTCTTTCTGTTCCCTTCTTCTATCCTTCCCTTCTCTTCCTACCACCCTCTTCCTTTCCCTACCACTTCTTCTTACTCCTTCATCTTTCCTTCCTTTCCTTTCTTTCCCCCTTTTCCTACAAAATATATATACCGTCCTCATAGCGATTAGGCTATGTCGAAATTTCCTAGTCTTGGAAAAACCAATATATTCGGCTTGTATTTGCTCTTCCCTTATTAATGAATAACTGCTCTCGCCCACCGGCGCTTAGCTTCGGAGTTCTGATGGGATCCGGCGTAGTAGCCGAGGTATGATCGTACCACGTCAACCCCGTGCCCCGACCGGTACACACCCCTTGCCCGGGTCCCCCCTTCACAGTCACACCCCCTGCCCCCTCATGCCATCCGCTCCCCCCGCCCCTACCCTCCGCGTGCCCGCTCCCTTGCCGCCTCTTTTGACCCTCCCTGCCCCCCTCGCCGTTTCCCACCGCCCGCCATTCGCTCCTCCCCGCCCGTGCGCTCCCCTCGTTTACCTTCTCCTCCCCCCTCCCCTCCTCTGCTGCACGCCTCTTCCTTCCCCTCGCCGACCCACTCCACTCCCTGCCCCTCCTCAATCCGCACCCTGCCCCTCGTATCTCGCCCCCCTATGCTTGGTTTCTCCCCTCCCTGCCCCTCGCCGCCTTTCTCCGCCCCCCCACCTCCCCCCTCTCCCTGCCCCCCCACTCTCCCACCCTTGCCCTTGGCTTCCTACCTCCCTGCCCCACCTTTCCCCCCTCTGTGTGCTCAGCTTCTCCCCTCCCTGCCCCTCCCTCCTCCCCGCCCTGCCCCTCGTTTTCCGCCTCCCCACGCCCGGTTTCTCCCCTCCCCGCGCCTCCCTTTCTTTCTCCGTGCCTCTCCTCTGCTCCCTCCCTGCCCGCGCCTGCCCATGCCCCTGTCTTTAGCTTCTCCCCTCCCTGCCCCACGTTTCTTCCCTCCCTGCCCACCCCCTCTGCCCCTCCCTTGTTTTCCCCTCACCCATTGCTTCTCCCCTCCCTGCCCTTGATTTCCCGCACCCCTGCCCTTGTTTCCTACCATCCATGCCCCTCGTTTCCCCCCCTTTGTACGTTCAGCCTCTTCCCTCCCTGCCCCTCCCTTCCTCCCCCCCTGCCCTTTGCTCTCCCCTCGTTACGCTCCCTTCTCCCCATCCCTGCTGCCCTCTTACCACCATCAGCCCATCCCCACCACCAGCCCCCCTCCCACCCTTCTCTCCCCCCCTCCCTTTCCCTCTCTCTCCTTCTCACACACACACACGCACACTCCCCTCCCCCACCCCCCACCCACATCCTCCCATTCTGCCCCTCTCTGCCCCTTTCCCACCCCCTCGCACGCCCCTCACCTCCCACCTCCGTGCAACTGGTTTCCCCCCTATGGTGCCTCCCTTGCATCGCTCGCCCCTCTGCTCACCCTCTGCCCGCCCCTTTTCCGTGCCCTCAGCTGGCCCAGCCCCTGCCCGTTGCTGCCCCTCCCCTTGCCCCCTCAACTCCCCTGCCCCCCGTACACCCCAGTCCCATCCAACCGCCCCCACCCTCCCCCGGCTGCCCGTTTCCGCTCTCCACCCCCGCGACCGTGCGCGGCTTCCAACCGCCCAACGGTGGTGCGCACGGGGCGTTTCTTCGCACGGGCAAGCCTCCCCGGGGGCCCCCCACCCCGCTGGGTCGTTGTTCGGGCAAAGAAACGAAAATAAAAAAATCGGACGCGCTGAAATCGTCCTTTCTTTTTCCCGCTTGCCCCTCCCCCGGCACGTGCCGAGCAAGGGGCATAAATGGGTACAACACGAGGACTTCCGCGGGCCCAGGGCGCCGCGCCTCCAGGTTCGGCCTCGGGGGCGGGGCAGGGGCGGGAGCAGCAGAGAGCGGACGGAGGTACAGGAGGGGCAGCGGGATTGGGAGGGGAGGGCCAGGGAGTGAGAGAGGCAGCAGGGGATGGAGCAGGGGGGTCGGGAGGTTTGGGGGAGGGTAGGGAGGGGGAGGGGAGAGGACAGGTGGATGGAGGAGAGGAGAGGGGGAGAGAGACGATCGGAGAGGGGGCACCAAGGGACCAGACAGGGCAGCAGCCAGCGCAACAGCAGGGACCAGTCGGACGCACAGGCCGTGTAGGCACCGCCTCCCGCATTCCAGACCTCACCTGCCGCGACGTTGGCCAGGGTCTGATGGTTCTTGTGGATGTCTCCATAGCGGATCCACAGCGGGAGGGGAACGTGCAGCTGAGACGGGCGACCCCCACACAGATTGGAGTGGCAGCAGCTAGGCGGGTGCAGGAGAAGCTGCGTCACTGGGGGCCGCACTTAGAGGGGCTGCAGCCGGCACCACACTTTTACGCGTGCGTGGCGGAGACCTTTGGCCTTCTGAGTGAGCCGCTGCGTCAGTTTCTGGGGCTCTGCGCAAAGAGGATAGCACAGCGGAGGAGGGATAGAGGTGGGGGGGATGACGGATCGGCACGGATATTTGAGGCAGGACTCACTACACGCCTCTCCGTTGCACTGCAGCGCGCGCAGGCTCAATGCATGATCCAGCATGCGGTGCGGCAGTTAGGGAGGTCCGACGACGGGTGGATGCCCGCACCAGTCCCACTGGGTGCGGGGCAGGGAACTTGGCACCACGTCACAGGGTGCTTCGAGAGTGTGGCTGATATGCAGTATATATATGATGCATATGTGTAAAAAACAATAGTGGCTGTGCTTGAAACGCTGTGCCCGTGCGGTCGTGCGGGTTGCTGCCGTGTTTGGTCCTTTGGTGCTTCCTTCTCCTTAGTCTCTCTCTCTCTCTCCTCTTCTCTTCCCACCTCCCTCTTTCTGTTCCCTTCTTCTATCCTTCCCTTCTCTTCCTACCACCCTCTTCCTTTCCCTACCACTTCTTCTTACTCCTTCATCTTTCCTTCCTTTCCTTTCTTTCCCCCTTTTCCTACAAAATATATAAATCGTCCTCATAGCGCTTAGGCTATGTCGAAATTTCCTAGTCTTGGAAAAACCATTATATTCGGCTTGTATTTGCTCTTCCCTTATTAATGAATAACTGCTCTCGCCCACCGGCGCTTAGCTTTGGAGTTCTGATGGGATCCGGCGTAGTAGCCGAGGTATGATCGTACCACGTCAACCCCGTGCCCCGACCGGTACACACCCCTTGCCCGGGTCCCCCCTTCACAGTCACACCCCCTGCCCCCTCATGCCATCCGCTCCCCCCGCCCCTACCCTCCGCGTGCCCGCTCCCTTGCCGCCTCTTTTGACCCTCCCTGCCCCCCTCGCCGTTTCCCACCGCCCGCCATTCGCTCCTCCCCGCCCGTGCGCTCCCCTCGTTTACCTTCTCCTCCCCCCTCCCCTCCTCTGCTGCACGCCTCTTCCTTCCCCTCGCCGACCCACTCCACTCCCTGCCCCTCCTCAATCCGCACCCTGCCCCTCGTATCTCGCCCCCCTATGCTTGGTTTCTCCCCTCCCTGCCCCTCGCCGCCTTTCTCCGCCCCCCACCTCCCCCCTCTCCCTGCCCCCCCACTCTCCCACCCTTGCCCTTGGCTTCCTACCTCCCTGCCCCACCTTTCCCCCCTCTGTGTGCTCAGCTTCTCCCCTCCCTGCCCCTCCCTCCTCCCCGCCCTGCCCCTCGTTTTCCGCCCCCCCACGCCCGGTTTCTCCCCTCCCCGCGCCTCCCTTTCTTTCTCCGTGCCTCTCCTCTGCTCCCTCCCTGCCCCCGCCTGCCCATGCCCCTGTCTTTGGCTTCTCCCCTCCCTGCCCCACGTTTCTTCCCTCCCTGCCCACCCCCTCTGCCCCTCCCTTGTTTTCCCCTCACCCATTGCTTCTCCCCTCCCTGCCCTTGATTTCCCGCACCCCTGCCCTTGTTTCCTACCATCCATGCCCCTCGTTTCCCCCCCTTTGTACGTTCAGCCTCTTCCCTCCCTGCCCCTCCCTTCCTCCCCCCCTGCCCTTTGCTCTCCCCTCGTTACGCTCCCTTCTCCCCATCCCTGCTGCCCTCTTACCACCATCAGCCCATCCCCACCACCAGCCCCCCTCCCACCCTTCTCTCCCCCCCTCCCTTTCCCTCTCTCTCTTTCTCACACACATACACGCACACTCCCCTCCCCCACCCCCCACCCACATCCTCCCATTCTGCCCCTCCCTGCCCCTTTCCCACCCCCTCGCACGCCCCTCACCTCCCACCTCCGTGCAAGTGGTTTCCCCCCCCTATGGTGCCTCCCTTGCATCGCTCGCCCCTCTGCTCACCCTCTGCCCGCCCCTTTTCCGTGCCCTCAGCTGGCCCAGCCCCTGCCCGTTGCTGCCCCTCCCCTTGCCCCCTCAACTCCCCTGCCCCCCGTACACCCCAGTCCCATCCAACCGCCCCCACCCTCCCCCGGCTGCCCGTTTCCGCTCTCCACCCCCGCGACCATGTGCGGCTTCCAACCGCCCAACGGTGGTGCGCACGGGGCGTTTCTTCGCACGGGCAAGCCTCCCCGGGGGCCCCCCACCCCGCTGGGTCGTTGTTCGGGCAAAAAAACGAAAATGAAAAAATCGGACGCGCTGAAATCGTCCTTTCTTTTTCCCGCTTGCCCCTCCCCCGGCACGTGCCGAGCAAGGGGCATAAATGGGTACAACACGAGGACTTCCCGGGAGGTCACCCAGCCCAGTACTGCTCTACGCTGTTCACACAGTTGGAGGCGGCTCGAGCGAGACTACTGGGACAGCCAGTGGTGGGAGAGGGGACACGGGCTGAGGGACCGGGGGAGCGGAGAGGCGTGGCGGGACAGCCGGGTGGCGGGGGACAGTGGGGACGGCACCAGCTGCGGGGTCAGGTGGAGCGAGGGACAGGTGGGCAGAGGGGACGGCAGGGGGAGCAGACAGGCCAGGACAGGGAGGGGGGACGGCACAGGCAGCAGCAGGAGAGCCAGTGGAGGCCGCGGGCCCAGGGCGCCGCGCCTCCAGGTTCGGCCTTGGGGGCGGGGCAGGGGCGGGAGCAGCAGAGAGCGGACGGAGGTACAGGAGGGGCAGCGGGATTGGGAGGGGAGGGCCAGGGAGTGAGAGAGGCAGCAGGGGATGGAGCAGGGGGGTCGGGAGGTTTGGGGGAGGGTAGAGAGGGGGAGGGGAGAGGACAGGTGGATGGAGGAGAGGAGAGGGGCAGAGAGACGATCGGAGAGGGGGCACCAAGGGACCAGACAGGGCAGCAGCCAGCGCAACAGCAGGGACCAGTCGGACGCACAGGCCGTGTAGGCACCGCCTCCCGCATTCCAGACCTCACCTGCCGCGACGTTGGCCAGGGTCTGATGGTTCTTGTGGATGTCTCCATAGCGGATCCACAGCGGGAGGGGAACGTGCAGCTGAGACGGGCGACCCCCACACAGATTGGAGTGGCAGCAGCTAGGCGGGTGCAGGAGAAGCTGCGTCACTGGGGGCCGCACTTAGAGGGGCTGCAGCCGGCACCACACTTTTACGCTGTGCGTGGCGGAGACCTTTGGCCTTCTGAGTGAGCCGCTGCGTCAGTTTCTGGGGCTCTGCGCAAAGAGGATAGCACAGCGGAGGAGGGATAGAGGTGGGGGGGATGACGGATCGGCACGGATATTTGAGGCAGGACTCACTACACGCCTCTCCGTTGCACTGCAGCGCGCGCAGGCTCAATGCATGATCCAGCATGCGGTGCGGCAGTTAGGGAGGTCGACGACGGGTGGATGCCCGCACCAGTCCCACTGGGTGCGGGGCAGGGAACTTGGCACCACGTCACAGGGTGCTTCGAGAGTGTGGCTGATATGCAGTATATATATGATGCATATGTGTAAAAAACAATAGTGGCTGTGCTTGAAACGCTGTGCCCGTGCGGTCGTGCGGGTTGCTGCCGTGTTTGGTCCTTTGGTGCTTCCTCCTCCTTAGTCTCTCTCTCTCTCTCCTCTTCTCTTCCCACCTCCCTCTTTCTGTTCCCTTCTTCTATCCTTCCCTTCTCTTCCTACCACCCTCTTCCTTTCCCTACCACTTCTTCTTACTCCTTCATCTTTCCTTCCTTTCCTTTCTTTCCCCCTTTTCCTACAAAATATATATATCGTCCTCATAGCGCTTAGGCTATGTCGAAATTTCCTTGTCTTGGAAAAACCATTATATTCGGCTTGTATATGCTCTTCCCTTATTAATGAATAACTGCTCTCGCCCACCGGCGCTTAGCTTCGGAGTTCTGATGGGATCCGGCGTAGTAGCCGAGGTATGATCGTACCACGTCAACCCCGTGCCCCGACCGGTACACACCCCTTGCCCGGGTCCCCCCTTCACAGTCACACCCCCTGCCCCCTCATGCCATCCGCTCCCCCCGCCCCTACCCTCCGCGTGCCCGCTCCCTTGCCGCCTCTTTTGACCCTCCCTGCCCCCCTCGCCGTTTCCCACCGCCCGCCATTCGCTCCTCCCCGCCCGTGCGCTCCCCTCGTTTACCTTCTCCTCCCCCCCTCCCCTCCTCTGCTGCACGCCTCTTCCTTCCCCTCGCCGACCCACTCCACTCCCTGCCCCTCCTCAATCCGCACCCTGCCCCTCGTATCTCGCCCCCCTATGCTTGGTTTCTCCCCTCCCTGCCCCTCGCCGCCTTTCTCCGCCCCCCACCTCCCCCCTCTCCCTGCCCCCCCACTCTCCCACCCTTGCCCTTGGCTTCCTACCTCCCTGCCCCACCTTTCCCCCCCTCTGTGTGCTCAGCTTCTCCCCTCCCTGCCCCTCCCTCCTCCCCGCCCTGCCCCTCGTTTTCCGCCCCCCCACGCCCGGTTTCTCCCCTCCCCGCGCCTCCCTTTCTTTCTCCGTGCCTCTCCTCTGCTCCCTCCCTGCCCCCGCCTGCCCATGCCCCTGTCTCTGGCTTCTCCCCTCCCTGCCCCACGTTTCTTCCCTCCCTGCCCACCCCCTCTGCCCCTCCCTTGTTTTCCCCTCACCCATTGCTTCTCCCCTCCCTGCCCTGATTTCCCGCACCCCTGCCCTTGTTTCCTACCATCCATGCCCCTCGTTTCCCCCCCTTTGTACGTTCAGCCTCTTCCCTCCCTGCCCCTCCCTTCCTCCCCCCCTGCCCTTTGCTCTCCCCTCGTTACGCTCCCTTCTCCCCATCCCTGCTGCCCTCTTACCACCATCAGCCCATCCCCACCACCAGCCCCCCTCCCACCCTTCTCTCCCCCCCTCCCTTTCCCTCTCTCTCTTTCTCACACACACACACGCACACTCCCCTCCCCCACCCCCCACCCACATCCTCCCATTCTGCCCCTCCCTGCCCCTTTCCCACCCCCTCGCACGCCCCTCACCTCCCACCTCCGTGCAACTGGTTTCCCCCCCCTATGGTGCCTCCCTTGCATCGCTCGCCCCTCTGCTCACCCTCTGCCCGCCCCTTTTCCGTGCCCTCAGCTGGCCCAGCCCCTGCCCGTTGCTGCCCCTCCCCTTGCCCCCTCAACTCCCCTGCCCCCCGTACACCCCAGTCCCATCCAACCGCCCCCACCCTCCCCCGGCTGCCCGTTTCCGCTCTCCACCCCCGCGACCATGTGCGGCTTCCAACCGCCCAACGGTGGTGCGCACGGGGCGTTTCTTCGCACGGGCAAGCCTCCCCGGGGGCCCCCCACCCCGCTGGGTCGTGGTTCGGGCAAAAAAACGAAAATGAAAAAATCGGACGCGCTGAAATCGTCCTTTCTTTTTCCCGCTTGCCCCTCCCCCGGCACGTGCCGAGCAAGGGGCATAAATGGGTACAACACGAGGACTTCCCGGGAGGTCACCCAGCCCAGTACTGCTCTACGCTGTTCACACAGTTGGAGGCGGCTCGAGCGAGACTACTGGGACAGCCAGTGGTGGGAGAGGGGACACGGGCTGAGGGACCGGGGGAGCGGAGAGGCGTGGCGGGACAGCCGGGTGGCGGGGGACAGTGGGGACGGCACCAGCTGCGGGGTCAGGTGGAGCGAGGGACAGGTGGGCAGAGGGGACGGCAGGGGGAGCAGACAGGCCAGGACAGGGAGAGGGGACGGCACAGGCAGCAGGAGGAGAGCCAGTGGAGGCCGCGGGCCCAGGGCGCCGCGCCTCCAGGTTCGGCCTTGGGGGCGGGGCAGGGGCGGGAGCAGCAGAGAGCGGACGGAGGTACAGGAGGGGCAGCGGGATTGGGAGGGGAGGGCCAGGGAGTGAGAGAGGCAGCAGGGGATGGAGCAGGGGGGTCGGGAGGTTTGGGGGAGGGTAGAGAGGGGGAGGGGAGAGGACAGGTGGATGGAGGAGAGGAGAGGGGCAGAGAGACGATCGGAGAGGGGGCACCAAGGGACCAGACAGGGCAGCAGCCAGCGCAACAGCAGGGACCAGTCGGACGCACAGGCCGTGTAGGCACCGCCTCCCGCATTCCAGACCTCACCTGCCGCGACGTTGGCCAGGGTCTGATGGTTCTTGTGGATGTCTCCATAGCGGATCCACAGCGGGAGGGGAACGTGCAGCTGAGACGGGCGACCCCCACACAGATTGGAGTGGCAGCAGCTAGGCGGGTGCAGGAGAAGCTGCGTCACTGGGGGCCGCACTTAGAGGGGCTGCAGCCGGCACCACACTTTTACGCGTGCGTGGCGGAGACCTTTGGCCTTCTGAGTGAGCCGCTGCGTCAGTTTCTGGGGCTCTGCGCAAAGAGGATAGCACAGCGGAGGAGGGATAGAGGTGGGGGGGATGACGGATCGGCACGGATATTTGAGGCAGGACTCACTACACGCCTCTCCGTTGCACTGCAGCGCGCGCAGGCTCAATGCATGATCCAGCATGCGGTGTGGCAGTTAGGGAGGTCCGACGACGGGTCGATGCCCGCACCAGTCCCACTGGGTGCGGGGCAGGGAACTTGGCACCACGTCACAGGGTGCTTCGAGAGTGTGGCTGATATGCAGTATATATATGATGCATATGTGTAAAAAACAATAGTGGCTGTGCTTGAAACGCTGTGCCCGTGCGGTCGTGCGGGTTGCTGCCGTGTTTGGTCCTTTGGTGCTTCCTCCTCCTTAGTCTCTCTCTCTCTCTCCTCTTCTCTTCCCACCTCCCTCTTTCTGTTCCCTTCTTCTATCCTTCCCTTCTCTTCCTACCACCCTCTTCCTTTCCCTACCACTTCTTCTTACTCCTTCATCTTTCCTTCCTTTCCTTTCTTTCCCCCTTTTCCTACAAAATATATATATCGTCCTCATAGCGCTTAGGCTATGTCGAGATTTCCTTGTCTTGGAAAAACCATTATATTCGGCTTGTATATGCTCTTCCGTTATTAATGAATAACTGCTCTCGCCCACCGGCGCTTAGCTTCGGAGTTCTGATGGGATCCGGCGTAGTAGCCGAGGTATGATCGTACCACGTCAACCCCGTGCCCCGACCGGTACACACCCCTTGCCCGGGTCCCCCCTTCACAGTCACACCCCCTGCCCCCTCATGCCATCCGCTCCCCCCGCCCCTACCCTCCGCGTGCCCGCTCCCTTGCCGCCTCTTTTGACCCTCCCTGCCCCCCTCGCCGTTTCCCACCGCCCGCCATTCGCTCCTCCCCGCCCGTGCGCTCCCCTCGTTTACCTTCTCCTCCCCCCTCCCCTCCTCTGCTGCACGCCTCTTCCTTCCCCTCGCCGACCCACTCCACTCCCTGCCCCTCCTCAATCCGCACCCTGCCCCTCGTATCTCGCCCCCCTATGCTTGGTTTCTCCCCTCCCTGCCCCTCGCCGCCTTTCTCCGCCCCCCACCTCCCCCCTCTCCCTGCCCCCCCACCCTCCCACCCTTGCCCTTGGCTTCCTACCTCCCTGCCCCACCTTTCCCCCCTCTGTGTGCTCAGCTTCTCCCCTCCCTGCCCCTCCCTCCTCCCCGCCCTGCCCCTCGTTTTCCGCCCCCCCACGCCCGGTTTCTCCCCTCCCCGCGCCTCCCTTTCTTTCTCCGTGCCTCTCCTCTGCTCCCTCCCTGCCCCCCGCCTGCCCATGCCCCTGTCTTTGGCTTCTCCCCTCCCTGCCCCACGTTTCTTCCCTCCCTGCCCACCCCCTCTGCCCCTCCCTTGTTTTCCCCTCACCCATTGCTTCTCCCCTCCCTGCCCTTGATTTCCCGCACCCCTGCCCTTGTTTCCTACCATCCATGCCCCTCGTTTCCCCCCCTTTGTACGTTCAGCCTCTTCCCTCCCTGCCCCTCCCTTCCTCCCCCCCTGCCCTTTGCTCTCCCCTCGTTACGCTCCCTTCTCCCCATCCCTGCTGCCCTCTTACCACCATCAGCCCATCCCCACCACCAGCCCCCCTCCCACCCTTCTCTCCCCCCCTCCCTTTCCCTCTCTCTCTTCTCACACACACACACGCACACTCCCCTCCCCCACCCCCCCACCCACATCCTCCCATTCTGCCCCTCCCTGCCCCTTTCCCACCCCCTCGCACGCCCCTCACCTCCCACCTCCGTGCAACTGGTTTCCCCCCCCTATGGTGCCTCCCTTGCATCGCTCGCCCCTCTGCTCACCCTCTGCCCGCCCCTTTTCCGTGCCCTCAGCTGGCCCAGCCCCTGCCCGTTGCTGCCCCTCCCCTTGCCCCCTCAACTCCCCTGCCCCCCGTACACCCCAGTCCCATCCAACCGCCCCCACCCTCCCCCGGCTGCCCGTTTCCGCTCTCCACCCCCGCGACCGTGTGCGGCTTCCAACCGCCCAACGGTGGTGCGCACGGGGCGTTTCTTCGCACGGGCAAGCCTCCCCGGGGGCCCCCCACCCCGCTGGGTCGTTGTTCGGGCAAAAAAACGAAAATGAAAAAATCGGACGCGCTGAAATCGTCCTTTCTTTTTCCCGCTTGCCCCTCCCCCGGCACGTGCCGAGCAAGGGGCATAAATGGGTACAACACGAGGACTTCCCGGGAGGTCACCCAGCCCAGTACTGCTCTCGCCCACCGGCGCTTAGCTTCGGAGTTCTGATGGGATCCGGCGTAGTAGCCGAGGTATGATCGTACCACGTCAACCCCGTGCCCCGACCGGTACACACCCCTTGCCCGGGTCCCCCCTTCACAGTCACACCCCCTGCCCCCTCATGCCATCCGCTCCCCCCGCCCCTACCCTCCGCGTGCCCGCTCCCTTGCCGCCTCTTTTGACCCTCCCTGCCCCCCTCGCCGTTTCCCACCGCCCGCCATTCGCTCCTCCCCGCCCGTGCGCTCCCCTCGTTTACCTTCTCCTCCCCCCTCCCCTCCTCTGCTGCACGCCTCTTCCTTCCCCTCGCCGACCCACTCCACTCCCTGCCCCTCCTCAATCCGCACCCTGCCCCTCGTATCTCGCCCCCCTATGCTTGGTTTCTCCCCTCCCTGCCCCTCGCCGCCTTTCTCCGCCCCCACCTCCCCCCTCTCCCTGCCCCCCCACTCTCCCACCCTTGCCCTTGGCTTCCTACCTCCCTGCCCCACCTTTCCCCCCTCTGTGTGCTCAGCTTCTCCCCTCCCTGCCCCTCCCTCCTCCCCGCCCTGCCCCTCGTTTTCCGCCCCCCCACGCCCGGTTTCTCCCCTCCCCCGCGCCTCCCTTTCTTTCTCCGTGCCTCTCCTCTGCTCCCTCCCTGCCCCCGCCTGCCCATGCCCCTGTCTTTGGCTTCTCCCCTCCCTGCCCCACGTTTCTTCCCTCCCTGCCCACCCCCTCTGCCCCTCCCTTGTTTTCCCCTCACCCATTGCTTCTCCCCTCCCTGCCCTTGATTTCCCGCACCCCTGCCCTTGTTTCCTACCATCCATGCCCCTCGTTTCCCCCCCTTTGTACGTTCAGCCTCTTCCCTCCCTGCCCCTCCCTTCCTCCCCCCCTGCCCTTTGCTCTCCCCTCGTTACGCTCCCTTCTCCCCATCCCTGCTGCCCTCTTACCACCATCAGCCCATCCCCACCACCAGCCCCCCTCCCACCCTTCTCTCCCCCCCCTCCCTTTCCCTCTCTCTCTTTCTCACACACACACACGCACACTCCCCTCCCCCACCCCCCACCCACATCCTCCCATTCTGCCCCTCTCTGCCCCTTTCCCACCCCCTCGCACGCCCCTCACCTCCCACCTCCGTGCAACTGGTTTCCCCCCCTATGGTGCCTCCCTTGCATCGCTCGCCCCTCTGCTCACCCTCTGCCCGCCCCTTTTCCGTGCCCTCAGCTGGCCCAGCCCCTGCCCGTTGCTGCCCCTCCCCTTGCCCCCTCAACTCCCCTGCCCCCCGTACACCCCAGTCCCATCCAACCGCCCCCACCCTCCCCCGGCTGCCCGTTTCCGCTCTCCACCCCCGCGACCGTGCGCGGCTTCCAACCGCCCAACGGTGGTGCGCACGGGGCGTTTCTTCGCACGGGCAAGCCTCCCCGGGGGCCCCCCCACCCCGCTGGGTCGTTGTTCGGGCAAAGAAACGAAATAAAAAATCGGACGCGCTGAAATCGTCCTTTCTTTTTCCCGCTTGCCCCTCCCCCGGCACGTGCCGAGCAAGGGGCATAAATGGGTACAACACGAGGACTTCCCGGGAGGTCACCCAGCCCAGTACTGCTCTCGCCCACCGGCGCTCTTACCTTGACCTAGCTTACCTAGCCATGGCTGCCTACTAAGGAGCCTCCTAAACCTACTATTTCGAGTTGCTTAAGGACAAAGTGATTGTGATAGTTGTTTATGTTATAGTTATAAGCGTTTCCAACGGTTAGTTTTTTTAGTTTCGACTGTCGAGTTCGACGGGACGGGGGTCGCGAGTTTCGCGCGCGACCCTCAGGAGTCTCGGAAACGGAACTCGCGGGGTGTTACGGAACCGTTTGTTCGACCCCGCCATCGCGGGATCGCTGCGGACGCGCTGCAGCCGGTGTAACGGGAGGTGGGGCGCTGACGCGAAGTTCGCCCGCGGAGTGTAACAGCGCGCGCGACTCACAACCACAACTCCGCCAGACACGGTGTTCCCGCCCATCCCCTCTCTCGACACTCTCCCTTATCCCCCCGCTCTTTTCTGCTCACGGCTTTTCTATTCGAAGCGATTAGCTGCTACCGAGTTTTTTTCCCGCGGTTTCCCTCTCTCGAAGTCACTGAGCTTAGCTTCCGCCCGTAGTTAGCACTCTTCCTTCCCTTTCGGTGCGCCCTTCTTTATCGTAACCCTAATTCGAAGAGCCGCGCGTTTCCAAGCACGCTTTCTCGTCGCCTATCATGTTTAGTCATGCACTCGTTTTCCCCGCCTGTTCAATCTAGCCGCGACGTAGACGGAACCGCGCACGGGGCGCTTACCGCCAGGGAAAGGCAGCGCGGAGGGAGGCGAAATTGCTACGTTCGTAGCGATTAAGCAGCCCTCCCCTTGCGCGCCTCCCGAAGCGCGTTTCTGCCTAGAGCGTTTTAGCCGCCCACGTTTGGCACACAAGCCGCCCCACTCCCCTTTTGCTCACTCCCACCCTGCCGTGCCTCGTCGCGCACTCGTGCATGCCACCCACACGTCGTAATTTTACCCCGTCGCCACCCACATAGTCACCTCCCTGCTCACACCGCCCCTTTCCCCCTCACACGCGCGCTTTAGCCACCCCGCCACCTAACCTCTTTCCCTAACGGCGCTTAGCTAGCAGAGGCCGCCCTGTTTCTGGAAACCGTAGGAAATAAGAGGAAACAACTTCAAGGAAAAAAGAAAAGAAAAAGAAATTCATATAAATCCGAAAAAACCAGGAAAAATCAGAAAGGCAGCTTACACCTTGTTCTCCCAACCCTCCAGGGCCCCACCCCAGTCCGCCACCCCCCCATTCTGTTTCATCATACTACACCACACCCTCCCCTTTTGCCCACCAGCATTACCGCCCCTCTCCCCTTATCCCCCACCACGCCCCCAAGCAGGCCTTTCTCCCCCCAGCCTCCCGTTCTCCCTGCCCTTAGTACCGCCGCGCTCTGCCCGTGCGTCACCCTTGCCCACTTCATACCACCTCCCCCTTCTCCCCCCCCCCGGCTTCTCCCTATCATCACCCGCATGTTCCCCCACTCCCCTGTCCACAACGTCCCTCCACCCCCCTTCCTGCTTTCCCCACTCCCCACTCTGCCCCCACACCCTCTACGAGCCGTACTTCCCCCTCCAGCCTCCCTTTCCCCCCCAGCTACTTCCGCATCCCAGCGTGGGCTGCACCTCTGCATCCCGCCCTGCCAGGCCCTTCGGTTGACCCAACTGCCGCCACCTGGCACCACGCCGCCTTTCCCACCCCCCATCCAATCTCTACACCCCCTGCCCCTGCTCCCTGCGCAATCCAGCACCCTACCCCCCAGCCTCCCTCTACCTCTCGCTAACTCCACACCGCCGTTCCTACCCCCAGCCAAGGTCTACACCCCTTGCTTTTGCTCCCTGGGCTGTGCCGTCCCCAACCTCCCTCCGCCTTTCCGCGGCACC